TAGTGACTAATCATTCCACCATTTGGTTGATTTGCATATTAGGGTTTTATTATATAGGATAGGATATTGAATGTGAACTGTAAATGAAAAATAAAATTTTAAAAAGAAACAAATAAAATTTTAGATCTGAAAAATTTTTAATATATATAAAGATTCTTAATTCTACCTGAGGATGTTTGTAAAATTTATTTTTAGAGAAATATCCATGTGACAGAGAAATACCAGTAGGCTGCCTCTGCACCAACTGACCCACCGGGATCTAACCTAAACCTAAGTATGTACCCTAACCTAGAATCCAATAGGAAATCCTTTGGTGTACAGGTTGAGTCTCCAACCATTTGAGGCACCTGGCCAGGGTAGATCTGAAAAAGATTTTTAAATGTACCTCCAGGTCCTGGTCGGTGTGGATCAGTAGTTAGAGTGTTCTCCCATGCACCAAAGATCATGGGTTCGATTCCAGGTGAGAGTACATACACAGGTTGTGGGTTCCATCCCTGTAATATTGCTTGGGCAACTCATTGATGTTTCTCTTTCTCTTTCTCTTTCTCTCTCCCTTCCTCTCTCTCTAGAATCAATGAAAAAAACATATCCTTAGAGGACTTAAAAAGAAAAAAATGCTGGTTTGGTTCAGTGGATAGTGCTTCTTCAGGCGGATTGAAGGGTGCCAGGTTGGATTCCGATCAAGGGCATGTACTTGGGTTGTAGGTTCCATCCGGGGCCCTAGTCAGGGATTCAGCAAGAGGCAACCAATTAATGTCTCTCACATTAGTGTCTTTCTTCCTCCCTTCTACTCTCTGTAAAAAATAAATAAATAAATAAATAAAATTTAAAAAATTTTTTTTAAAATGCCCTCAGGTGTGGATTAACCAAAACAAACACCCATGCCCAGTGTGATTATTGAAGGAGCATATGAAATATTTGTTGAATAAACGGGAAGGGATGGGACTGTGCTTTGTTTTAGCAACCATGCAAGCCAGAGGGCTCATTTTTTAATTTTTATTGATTGATTATTTTAGAGAGAGGAAAGGAGCAAGAGAAACACCAGTGTGTTATTCCACTTACTATGCTCTCTTTAGTTGCTTCTTGTCTGTGCCCTGACCAGGGATCCAACCCACAACCTTGCTGTATCAGAGGAGGTTCTAACCCACTGCGCTGCGGGCTGCCTGTCAGGGCCCCACAAACCCCTCTGGCGTGCTGTGGGCCGGAGCTCCTCTGCCGCAGCAAAGGTTTGGGCTCCATTCTGTCAGGGCACCTACTTAGGTTTGGGTTTGATCCCCGATCGGGGCTGGCTGCTGCTCAGGAAGTGACTGAGGCCTGTTGAGGTCCATGTGCCCTAGTCATTCGGCGGGGATCTGGGGTTCCATTGCTGACATGGCCAACTCCGATCCCCACTGCCCCTGGTCGTGCACGGAGGACGACTTCAACTAGGGCCACCGCGTGGCCTCCACCAGCGCAACAACAATGCTGTGCGTAATAACATAGGAAAAAATATTGTAAAAACTCAAACATCAATTATATATATATATATATATACACACACACATACATACACACACACACACACACACTAGAGGCCTGACACATGAAGATTTGTGCAAGAATGGGCCTTCCTTCCCTTGGCTACTGGCATCGCCTTTACTCTGGCCATAGATGCCTTTCTGCCTTCCCATGCTGTGGAGCTGCTGGGATTGTGCAGAATGCCTATGTTGTTGCCATGGCAATGACACAAGCGTCCTGGCCCCTGCCCCTTGGTGCCTGCATATGCAAATTAATCCACCATCTTTGTTAATTAGCATACCCACTCCTGATTGGCTGGTGGGTGTCATGAAGGAAGAGTCAATTTGCACCTTTTGTTATTAGTGTTGATGTAAAAGCCTAAGTGACTGCCACTATGACACGCAATGACCACCAGGGACAGACGCTCAATGCAGGAGCTGCTGAGTGACAGCAACTTTGCAGAGTGCCCTCTCGCAACACTGGGACCTCTCAGAGGGATATTGGACTGCTGATTTCGATCCTTGCAGGCCAGGCTGAGGGACCCCACTTGCCAGAGGGCCCTGCTCATTCCAGACACCCTTCAAGCCCTGGCACTGCCCCATGTGCAGCTGGCTGGAGAGGGACCTCAGCAGGTTAGCTCCAGAGCATGTCCTGCCATCTCCCCAAGTCTTGCCTGCCAGACACCTTCTAATTACTAATTAATTTACTTTCAATGTGCATCTGACCTCTAGCAGTTATATAAATGAGGTTAAGTTAAAGCTGACATAGACTTACAAAACATAAAATATGAGTAGACATTATATAGTTTTAATGAATCCACTTCCTTTATTGCAGTAACCTTTGTACAAAGCAGCAACTGCAATACTCAATGTTAAAACATTAGAAAAGCAAGAGACAGTTATCATACAATATTATCAAAATATTACATTTTCAAACTTAGTAAACATCCACCAGAGCGCAAATCTTTAAATTATTTCCATAGTCTTTAAAAATATGTAATATCAGAAAGTATATAAAAAGAATGTAAAAGAAAACCTAAAATACAAATGAAGTAATGTAACAAATAAATATCTGATTTATTTAACCATTAATAATTAGCATAATATCACCATTCTCTCTAAACCCATTGAATTTTTACCTCTAGAAATAATGAATGTTCAAATGCCATTGCATAATTATTTGTTTCCAAGTTACCACCAATGATTAGAAAAACAGAGGCATTAAAATAATCAAATTCAGTATAAATAAAAGATTAGAATAACTTTGACACTAGCTAGCATCTCTAAGAATTAATTATTGAGTTTTATTAGAGCAGTATATTAACCTTAAAAATTTTGACCTGGTGTCTAGTGAGAAGTAAAAGTAATGAACGTTTTGAAAAAGTGAAAAGCTTCTTACATTATTTCACAGACAATATTACCCTCCCCCCATTATGCATATTTTGATATATTTTATGTACTTTATACATAATGTATGATGCATGACATTTGATTCCTGTAGTACAGATCACAATGATGTTTTCCTGAATGGGAAAAACTTGGGGGAGAAAAGGGTAAGTGTACCTGTGCACATTTCAACATAGCAGCACTTAGTTTATGCCCTATTATCCATTTTAAAAATTCAAACATAAATAGTTTATTGACTAATCTGACATTTCTACCATTCTTGTCCCCAAACACTACAAAACCAGCCATAAATGCAACAATGCTGTGCATAATAACATAGGAAAAAGTATTTTGGGGAAAAAACAATTATTTCATTTTCTTAACATTCTGAATTCAAAATTATTATTAGATCTTCATTTTTATATTAACTTAGTTTACTTACGCAGCAAAAATACTGCACTGTTGACAACAGTAATTTTATAGATTTCTATCAAGATTTATTAAAACCTGTATAAAGTCTTCACCATTGAAACTTATAACCCACTGAACAGTACTTCAGATGAAATGTTCTCCATTCTTTATCTGAATGACAACTGTGAATTACATGCCCTTCAAATAATCATCTTTGTTCTCCAGGAAACCTCTCTTTCAATCTAATTTTGAACTTATGTTTACTAAAACAAAACCATTTTAATTTAATGAATCTTGATCATTTAAAATGCAAAAAACCAGCAACATAAATGTCATTATATATACATATCCATCTGTGTATGTATATACATATGCACACACACATACATATATGTGGATATAGATCCCTTGAAATGTTTTTAGGAAATCCTTCTTTGAATAAAAACTGAAAAACTTTACATTAACAATTGTATATAAAGCTTTTAATAACAGTACATACACAGTCATATTTGTACTAGTAGCCTATGATGTCAAAACAGACATTTCAAAAGCACAATCTGGCAGTTTTTCTTAACACAAAAGTTTTAAAGTATTAAGAATGGATTAAATTTAAATGTTCAGAATAATCTGTTCAAACCTGAGTATATTAATTAAGACTAAGAGTACTTGACATTTGAATGAATTAAGCCTAAAAACATTTCACTAAGAAACCAGTGGTCCATTTAACCATTTGATGAAACATCATTTTAATGATTTATAAAGGATGGTATAGTGAAATCCCAGGTAGTGTTTGAAATATTCTAGGAAATGGCATTGATTTTCCTCCAGAAAAATTTTTTTAGCATTCCTTAAAGTCTTAGATTTAAAGAAAACCCTAAATTAGAACAAATCTCTTTTAATAAATACAAATGATTTTGAGAATTTCTGTCAAAAGAATAACTATATAATTTATCTAAAGAATGACTATGTAATTTTTCAGCGGTATATAGAAGTACTAGATAAATCTCCAACCTTCCCTAACGTAGTAATAATTGACTGAAAATACAAATAAGAACCATTTAGATATTAAAAAAAAAAAAGTTTATTGGGCCTTTTGCCCCTAGGTCTACATTTATACATACTCATACAACCTAAACTTGGGGTCACTTTTTGGTTCCCATTTTTTCCCTCCATTAACTTGCCCTAACTCTCACCTTTAATGTCTAACATATACCTTTACAAAAATAATAGAAAACATACAGTACTCAACACTAACTGGTCAATGGAAGAAAAGCAGTGTCTATTTTAAAGTGGAAGATACTAAAAATAAAACTAATAGCTGAAGGCAAAGTTTGACATTCTATAAATTTATAAAAGAGGATATATGGATGAAATTTGGTTATTTTCAGAAGGCACCTCAAGGCTAAAGGCTTTTTATATTCCTTTCGTCAATCATAAAATAACATACTTTTATTGCTATTCAAGTAGCAAAGGAAAATTTTACTTCATGAGCTTTAGTCCAACAACAAGGAATCATTAAAATTGAGATACATTACTGACTAAAACTGAAGTCTCCATATACATGTCAATGGAACAACTTCCCTGTGTGCTTTCAAATTAATGAAATAGTGAAAGAAAAGTCACAGTTCACCATTGTGATGTTAATGTGTCATTGAAGATTTCAGTTACTTCACTAGGTAATGAAGTACTGTCCATTGTGTAGAAGGTTTAAGAATAGAATGTAAGGACACTCTGATGATTCCCACGAACTAGGAGAATTGGTGGCAGGTCCTCAGACAAAGCTTCTAACCACGCCATGTAGAGAGCACTAGATACAGCACCTTTTCGTGCAACTGGGAGACTCCTGGTATCAAAAAAAGAAAGGAAATTCAGCTATGCATTTAAGTTGAGAAGAATAAAATGTAATAAAAATTAGATTATGTCACAATATAGTAACTAAAAGTTACTACAGTTATAGCATATTATTAAGTGTGGGGAAATTCTGCATATAGTATAGCAATTACTATACTACTATAACACTACTCCTATTTTTTTTCAAGTTCTAACAAATTATGTTTAAAAATTTCTTCCTACAAATAGCATAACCCATTTGGTATCTAACATTAAACCTTAAATTTCCCCTTCAGTAAGTATAGAATTCTTTTAAGAGAAAATGGTGTTTCCATCTAAATGTAAAAGTGGAAACTATAAGTGTATATAATTCAAACATAATCACTTAAAATTAATGTAAAACTTAATTTACATTATTTCTAATGGGGAAAAATGATTCCGTTTTTGAATAAATCACTTCTGGAATGAATTAAGTTTGAAAATCAAGATGCCTGGGGTTCAAATTTGAATTTCAGGCCATCGTACTCCATATGGTTGATGGCAAAGCTAAACATATTTAAAAGGTGGGAAAAGGATAAAGGAAAATTCCAAAATATACAATAATAAAAAAATTACTTAGATTTATATAAGTTTAAGATTTTTCTTTCCTCCTATTTTAACTTCTTCTCAAATGCTTAGAGCAAGGTATATTTTAAAAAGTTTGTTTTTCCTCCTTACAACTACTAGGTTATTATAGATGTTAAATGGAGATGTACTTGTATAGAAACTAACCCTAATTGCATTATCATAAAAATTAATACCTAAGAAAATCTTAGTGCAAGTATTACTTACATGACAATGATACTAGCTGTGCTTGAATGTTCCTTTAATAATTCATTTAACCTAATCTGCCGGTATGTCTGAAATGAAACAAGACAAAGTCATTCCTAGACCATTTGAAAATTGGAACCTATTATGGTTCATAAAACTAAAAGTAGACAAAAAAGAAACCAAAACCAATTTTGGTATAAAAAAAATCAGTTCCAAAATTATTCTTTACATTGCCCAAATATAAATCCAAATTAAAGTTTATTTAATTTAGCTGAAACTGTTTTGGCTCAGTGGTAGAGCGTCGGTCTGCGGACTGAAAGGTCCCAGGTTCGATTCCGGTCAAGGGCATGTATGTTGGTTGCAGGCACATCCCCGGTAGGGAGTGTGCAAGAGGCAGCTGGTCGATGTTTCTCTCTCATAGACGTTTCTAGCTCTCTATCTCTCTCCCTTCCTCTCTGTAAAAAATCAATAAAATACATTTAAAAATAAATAAATACTAAAATATATTTAATTTATACAACTGGTTCCTTCTGTAACAAACTGCAGTTCTTGATACTTACTTTTATGAATTAAAATTTTTTTTACAATCACATGGAAGGTTAATGAAAAGTAAGCAGAAAAAAAAGGAATACCTTGGTCTTATAAAGTTCAAGTTCATTATCTGTTATTCGCCATGGTTCATCTTCTTTCATTTTATCTGCAATATCTTGTTCTTTATCATCTTCATGAAGTCTGTATGGCTCAATCATTTCATCAAAAGCTATAATACTTAAAAACAATAGAAAAAATACTGATAACCTTATTTTGAATTACTTAACAGTAAAATCTTGAAACATAAAATAACTTAAGCAGTTATTGTTTTCCATCTATTGTGCTCTCCTCTACTCTGATCTCATATCTATCCCTGCTCCTATGTCCAAACCCCCATCCCAATCAAAGTAAATTTTCACCACAGTGCCAGAATGATCCCTTTGAGCAATAAGTCAAATTGTATTATTTCTTTACTCAAAATACTCAAAGGCTTTCTCTTTCCCAGTTCAAATACCACTACATAAAAGTAGTATAAGAAAAGGTACCAGGACATTTAGAAGGGAGGGAAGGGTAAATACTAAACATTTAAGTAGATGGAGAATTAATTTCTAAATCCAAAAATACGTATTAGGACAAAAGACATTAAAAGAACATGACCAGCATCCTAATCCTCTACTTTTGGACCCAACCTAAGGGTGGTGCTGGTTGCTAGGAGAACCCACCTTGTGATTAGAAGTTTGGATCTTTCAGTTGTCTCCCCACAAACCTGCAATGTCCCCCAAAAAGGAAAGTGCTGGAGATTGAGAATAATAGCCAATAACCAATAACTCAATCATGACTAAGTAATGAAGCTTCAGAAAAACTGAGAGGACAGCTCCTTGGTCCTTTTTTCCTCCTTTTTGGAGACCAGAATGCTTCCAGGTGCCACCTTGCTAAGGTCCAAGCTCCACAAGGCCAGAAGCTCCTATGTTGGGGATCTCACTCAATTTGATTGTTAATTTGTATCCTTTGTAATAAATCAGTAATCTAATGAGTAAATGGGCTTTCTTGAGTTCTGTGAGCCATTCTAGCAAACTGAAATTGGAAAGGGAAGTCACGTGAACCTCTGATTTATAGCTAGTCTGTCAGAAGTATAGGTAACAACTTGTGCTTGCGGCTGGAATCTAATGTGGAGGACAGCCTCGCTGATCAGTGGTTGAATTTTGACCTATGAACCAGGAATCATGGTTCAGTTCCTGATTAGGGCATATGCCCCTGGGTTATGGGCTCAATCCCCAGTGTGGGGAGTGCAGGCGTAGCTGATCAATGATTCTCTCTCATCATTGATGTTTCTCTTTCTCCCTCTCCCTTCTTTTCTGAAATTAATAAAAACACATTTTAAAAATAAAAAAATTAAATGGAGGACAGTTTTTTGAGGCTGAGCCCTTTACCCGTGTAATTTGATTCTATCTTTGGGTAGCTGGTGTCCTAATTGAGTTGAATTCTCGATACTCTGCTTCTATCTGAGAATTGTTTGGTGTGGGAAGCCTCCACACACATTGGAATTGAGTCCTTGAACACTCTTTTCAAGTATGTCTCATACAAAGCACCTGGTTCTTATCCTATATAATAAAAGGCTAATATGCAAATCAACCAAGCAATGGAACCACTGGTCACTATGGCATGCACTGACCACCAGGGGGCAGACACTCAACGTAGGAGCTGCCCCTGGTGATCAGTGCACTCCCTTGGGGAATGCTGCTCAGCAAAAGGTCCTGAGCTGGGCTCACTGCTGGCAAGTGCAGCAGTGGTGGCAGGAGTTTCTCCCGTGGGGAGCAGGCCTAAGCCATCAGTTGGACATCCACCAAGGGCTCCTGGATTGAGAGGGCACAGGATGGGCTGAGAACCCCCCACACCCCAAGTACACGAATTTCGTGCATCAGGCCTCTAGTTGTTTTATAACAGGAAACAAATCTCTCCCTGATTACAACCTTACACAGTACAATCTTATTTTTTTTTTATTTAAAATGGATTTTTACACCAGCTTCATCATTTACTCAACATAGAATTATTAAAATTCTGCCCAGTAATATACATATCATGATAACAACCACAATTATTTCAGATACACTATTCCACAAATCTTTTAACTTCTTGAGAATTGTAAATGCAACTATTATAGGCAAATTCTTAGACTTTCTATTTTAGTAATAAAACAAAACAGTGTGACTAACTTCTTATGTGGAATAGGGTCTGAGTGGTCATAATGAATGTGGGCATAAACAATGGAAATTTAAAGAACCATGTGGAATTTCTGTGGTATTAATGATTTTCAGAAATTTCTTATAAAGCGGTAATTGAATTCGCTGAAAATTGAAGGCCTTTAGACTTACTTTGAAATCTGCTATAAGCATGCCAACTTTCAGTGCTAAATTTAAAGAGTTGATTTCATGTGTAACAGCAGGCCAAAAGGCCATTTATTAGTTTACGTTGAATTATCTGTTATTGGAATGACTGAATAGGTTATCTAAAAGTATTAGAAATTTATATAAAATAATTTATTCAATAACTTACTTTTCTTTCTTTGGTTTAGTATTAATATCTCCGAGGACCATTATATCAGAGAAGTCTATCCGGAATTTGCTAAGCAAAGTAGCCATCCTAAAACAAAAACAAATAGCACTTAGACACATGAAGGCTGTATATAGATATTTCTATTCTATTTAGAGCTGAATCTGTGTATCTGAAAAACATGATTTAGAGGAAAAATACTTATCACCATACAAAACAAGTCCATCTTAATTAATTTCCATTGTACATTCACAAAGTAGATGTAAAAAATGCCCTAGAAGAGACTTCTGTTATTTTACTTTTTCTAAATCTCATCCATAAAGGACAGTGGAAGATGTTAATAATGAAATTTGAATACAACTAGTATTTTTTAAGTTAATTTTGTTACTTGTTTAATTATTTTTGGATTATTCTTCTTTCCATGGCGAATGCCACCATCTCAAAAGGTCCAAATATGACTTTTTAGACCAAACTGAAGTTATAAGGTAGAGATTAAGTTCACATTTTTTTGGGAGGTGTGGAAAGTGGGCTTGGACAGGCATGGGATAGGAGCTCCAACAGACCTTTCAGGAAATATCTTTTTGGAGGCAGAGCTGGCAATGAAGCCTTGGTGGCAACAATAGAAAAGTTGAAACAAATATACAAACAGGAAAAGCAATGAACAAAACAGGATTTTATTCTTAATAAAATGAGTTTTCTAAATTAAGATATTAGAAAACAGATGAGAGATAGGTTTAACTTTTAAGTTATTTCTACTACTACTTGCATAATTCACTATTGAAATGAATAAAAACCTAATTGAATTCTGATATAAAATAAACATAACAGAAACCCAGAATGTGATGAGTGTTGTCAAGTATATTGTGATTCAGGAAGGAAATGTAACAGCTAGTAGGGGACAAGGGAGAAAAGTAGGGAAGGTGTAATGAATAAGATGGTAATTGTCCTGAACTTTAAAGGATGAAATATTTTAACCAAGAAGTACAAAACTATTAATAGTAAAGAGATGAGAGTAGGCAAAGGAGTAAAAGTCTGAAATCATCTGCATTTTTAAGGCAGGCACAGAAATGTAAATTGAAGTGTAAGGCATAATTGGGGGACCAGGAGATAACAATAGGGAATAGGAGGATAGGTTATAAGGACTTTGATTGCCACCTTAAGCATAGACCTTATATGGTATGTTACAGAGAAAAAGTTATATCAATATTTGGGCAGAGGAATCATGGGATCAAGCTCTGCTTTCCAAACCTGAAATTGAGAGCAATGTGCAAAATATATGCAAACAGAGACACCATAGGCACTTAGAGAAGCACTGAAACCAGAACCAGAACTGTGACAAGGACAGGGAGTGGATGACAATGGCTGTACACTCTCCCCCAATTTTAAAAAAAGACACTTTAATGCCATAAATATTAATACTTTCTAAAATGCCAATATTTTAAAAAATATTACATATAAGTAAAACAATCTACAACTTAAAATTAAAGATGGAGAACAAAACAACATAACTGACATCTTTTGGATTGCCTATGGATTATTCTACCAAATCTATATAGTAATAATAAAATATTGCTAGATAAATGCCCTTCAATTTAAAGTAGACTTACGCTCTCCGGTCATGGTCTATTCTGTTTATTTTCCCACCAATGAATACTCTGATCTTACAGTCTTTCCACTTTTTCTTGGTAGTCAGAAGGTAAGGTATCAATAAGGTCAAACCTAAATCATAAAAATATAATAAATCATATACTAAGTGCTAATTTTTTAATTAAAAACTTTTAATTCAATTTAGTCTCTAAAAACATGTGTACAACAACTCTGTAAAACTTTTCTTTCTGTCCTTTCTTGATTCAGTCATAAGGCCAGAGGTGGGGCTGAACTAGGAGGGAGACCCAGTGGAGTCAGAGCCCAGGAGAGGAAGTCAGTGAAATGGGATTGTGGCCTGGCAGAGTTGGGAGATGAGTCCCACACAAGAAGAGGGAGGAATGAGAATATTTTGGGAGCAACATTTCTCATTAAAATGAAAAACAGAGAAGCTGGATTGAACCCTGCAGTGTTGGGCTGGAATTAGTTTTCAGCCTATAAGTACACCTACAGACACTTACATGTGTACTAGAGGCCTGATGCATGAAGATTTGTGCAAGAATGGGCCTTCCTTCCCCTAGCTGCTAGCACCGCTTTTGCTCTAGCCCAGAGACCCAAAGCGGCTGGGGGCCTGTGCATGCAAATTAACCTGCCATCTTTATTGGGTTAATTTGCGTACTCACTCCTGACTGGCTGGTGAGTGCCATGAAGGTATGGTCAATTTGCATCTTACTCTTTTATTAGTGTAGATCTATCCACTGAGAGGGCCTGGGAGCAGAGATACCCTAATACCCTGTTTCCCTGAAAATAAGACAGTGTCTTATATTAATTTTTTCCTCCCAAAGTTGCACTAGGTCTTATTTTCAGGGGATGTCTTAACTTTCCATGCGCTAGGTCATATTTTCGGAGAATGTCTTCTTTTTGGGGAAACACGGTACCAACAAGTACATCTAATACCCCGTTTTTTGTTCCTCAATGCCACTCTCCACTAAAAGAAATCAGGGCTCCTTAGATAAAGAGTGGTTCGATGGATGCTGTAGGGAAGTACAAAACTGAGCCTGGAACTTATTACTGTATTAGAAAACAAAGAGTGGTTGGGACATGCCACATGGACATAGCAGTCAGACTAAACAGGAAATCTGGGACAATTTGAATATCAAAATAAATAATGAGAATGACAAATTATATCCCACTGAATAAAATAGGAATCCATGGTAGGAAATAATAGGACTGGAAAATTATCATCTGGCAACCACAAACACACCACAACAATAAATTCAGGCAGAAATATCAATGGATGCTAAAGATGGTGGTAAAAGTTGCAGTAACAATGGTATATTTACATAGTCTCAAAGTAACTCTTCATCCCCCAAATACCTGTAATTTTAAAAGGGGAAAACAGTAACTCTTCAGTGTATAACCCTGGTGGAAACCACCTTACTCCAGAGTCAAAGCTAACTTCACCAGTGATGAGACAAAGCAACATCATGTGCCACCTGATGAGATATAGACAGAAGAGCACAGCATCACTTGTGATATTTTTCTACTAAAAATACATAACTTGAATTATGGTGAAACATCAAATAGCACTCCAAATTAAGCGATGTTCTACAAAATATTTGGTCTGTAATATTTTTTAAATATTAAGGTCATGAAGCTCAAGGAAAGACCTAGCAACTCCCAAATTGAAGGATAATGAAGAGTTATGACAACTAAAATGCAACACCTGATTCTGAAATTAATCCTGTTGCTTTTGAGAATGTTGTCTAAACTGAAATGTGGTCTATGAGTGAGGATTTCATGCTGATTTTTAGTACTATTCCCACAACTTCAGTAAATTTAAAACTGTTAAAAAAAAGTGTATTAACAACCTTACCTCCATCATCAAAAAGCCACCAGACATCAATAGTATTCTTTCCTTGTTTTTTCTGAAACTGTGTACTAGCTTCAAGAAGCTTTTGGTCAGCTACATTTAAAGGCCCAGCAGGGCCTTTGGATTCTAAAGAATTAAGCAGAAAAAGATGTAAGGAAGCTAAATATTAAAGTCCCTTTTGCTGAATTCCTTCAGTTTCCTAACTTTCACATATTCAAATGTTTATTTCGAAGGTAGTAATATATGGTATCAATCATAAGCTTTCAACTGTTTATAATTTAAACATACGTTTAAGATGGCTAAAGATAAACACATCTTCACAACAATTAAACTCATTCAGACCATCTTGCCTAATTTCCAGTATTTTGAAGCATTCTGAATGAAAGAGAATCATAAATATCAATCAAGGAAATAACTAACTGCTGGATTTTGATTTTTGAAGAGATGTTTTAGGCTAACTGGACAAATTAAGTTTATGCTTTTTCTATGAATACTTTTTTTGTAATCTAGTTACTAAATAATTTAAAAATCAAAACATTTTTTTGAAATAATATGAAAGACAGAAGTGGAAGACATACCAGTACAATCTTACAATTATCACAGCGAAACCTTAGTCTAAGGAAAAACTCTCTCTTTTTATCTAACATTTTCCTCTTAATATGCAATTCCCAATTATAAAGCCACATAAATATCACATCTTTCTTTGAACCACAGAAAGATGGTGGGAACTCCCTGGAAGGGCACCCATATGTTACAAGTGGAAAGAGCAATATACAGTACTAAGGGAGTTCCCATATATATTCCCAGTAAATTAAAAAAAAGAAATCAACATTGGCTCTGTGAGTAAGCAGATGACTATTATGAAACTCCTAGACCAAATTTTTAAAGCAGAAATCCATAGGAGGAAATCTGATGACTTTTGCAGAATGCCTATCATTCACTTTTCATGCTGCCACGATGTATGCAAACATGACGAATGATTTGCAAGATGAAGTAATATGGCTACCAAACCACACTGCTCCATAACTCTCACCTCTATCTCCTTCTCATAAAATTCATGTACGTTGACATGACTGTGTATCTCCCAAACGCAGCAGGACTGTGAGAAATATTGTAGTTTTTGAAATGAAAAATATATTAGTATCAAAATTAAGGACTTGGCTGGGTACCACTGATGGTAAAGAATGCAGTGACACTGTAAATAAACCTATTTCAGTGTCTCTACTTATCATCTAAACCATGCAGTTAAAATTAAAAAATTAATACTGACTTTCAGGATTTGAATATTTAAGAAATGCTATGATGACTTAAAAGAATTTGTATTTGATAAATCACCTTTTCCTGGGGCGATTTAACTCTTTAATTAGGCTAATGATGATTTTTCTAATCTGCATTTAATAAATAACTGTAACATCACCTCACCATGAAAATAAAAACTAAGATAAAAAAAATAATAAGGTTGGAGATAAAGAATTACTAGTATGAAAAAGGGATTAAAATAAAATGATGAAAAATGCCTGCCTTTTTTCAACAGTGGTTGAGTTGGAGTCTTGCCATCCTCTTCCTCATCTAGATTATGTTTAAAAAACACAAAATATAAGTTAATTGCCTTTATATTAATAAAATAATGAAATGTAAATAGAGCATATTTATAAATAAAACATAGTATGAAGAAACAGTCTGAAAAATAATCAAGACTGAAGATCAATATTTTCTGCACTGAGTGTTCAGGATTTAAAAAAGCAAACATTTTAGACCTCTCCAACGGGGCTACTGATTAACGCTCACCCCTAAAATTGTATTCCTCTACAACTGACCAAAACTTTAGTAGAATTTTTAAACTTTTAAACTTTCATGTCTGAAATCAGGTAACAAGATGTTGAACTATGGCTAATAGAGGAGAAATATGGCATTAAAAAATTGAGTTCCAGATAACACATAAACTTTAATCATTATGCAAATGACTAAAAAGTAATTTTAGAAACACTTAAGGGATATTTGGTGTTTGTACAAATCATTTGCCACTGGAAATATTAAGAAATATGATCAGTCAGCGTCTCTTGGTTTATATAAAATGCCAGGTTATATAGGAGTGGTTTTTTTCCATTACATAAAATTGTATATATGCATATACAGCTATGTCTTCATATACATGTCTATTTAAATACCTATAAATGTCTTCATAGAGTTAACAGTTTTTCTAATCTCTCTCTCTCTCTCACTCACTCAAATATAAGCTTGCATTATTTGTTTAAGGCATATAACATATAAAACTCCCAACCTGGACAGGAAAGAGTACACTGCAGTGGGCTCTTGAGCCAGACTCCCAGTATTCTAGTATCACTACTGACCCCTTTCCTGGCTGTGACTTAACCCCTCACTTTCCTCAGTAATAAGGAGGATGAACAGTATCTACCTCTTAATGTTATTATATTGCAAACATTAATGCACTTAAGTCAGTGCTTAGCACAAAATAAAAGGGTGCTTTTTTTGTTCTTTTGAATACTCAATAATCAAGGCAGAAATATCAAATATCTATAACTATTTAATAACCATACCAGAATTTTCATAATTCTGAACTTTTAAAACTGCATAAACTTTTCTATGATTTCTATGCTAATTTTGAAAAAATTGGCAAAACAGAAAAATAATCACGCTATTTTTGAATGCTAATTTATTATGCCTGTTATGAAACAGGAAACATTTCAAATATTTTAATTTTTTAATATTAAATATTGTTCCTATAGATATTTGATATTATCTGTCTTTGAAGAAAAAAAACATTTATAAATATAACTTTGGACATTCTGTATTGATTTCAAAGAGCTCAGAAATTTCAAGGAAATATTGACACTTTGATTTAAACTAAATTAAAATTATTTACATTTTTATAACAAATAGAAATATACTGACCCAGTGTTCTACTTCATAAAAATAATGATTATAAGATTATGACACACATTAATGAACTAATGTATGGGTAATATCTACTAAATTGTGGAAGGCACTAAGTAGATACTTGATAAATATTACTTCTTCCCCTTCCATCATAGTTTTATCTATTAATTTCTAGCAGATACTGTAAAGGAAAGGATTTGTTTTAGGCAAGAGAAAAGGACAAATGAAAAGTAAGAGGAAATGAAAGACCGAATACCTAAACTAAACATAAATGCAGAAACATAAGAAGAGTGCTGTCATAATCAGTTTAATAGAGTCTTGAGATGAAACAGAAAAAAATGTAATCAAGCCAGCAAAGAACTAAAAGGAACAATGGGCCTCAACTAAGCTGTCAACTACCATTACTCTAAGCAAACAGATAAATGAAGAAAGAAATAAAAAGCAACATTGATGCTTCTAAATAATCTAAAAATGATCAATTTTCTGAGATAGGAATTCCTGACAAAGAATGACAATTATTTTACAGAAATAAAAATGTGATATGGTTTGATGATTTACAGTGCAGATTTTTCTTGTTGCATGTCAATTGGAAATAGGACAGATGGAGATACTAAACTAAACAGAGGTAGGAGAGTGAGGGTGGGAGAGTAAGATTTGGAAGTCATCTCTTTCCTTCTCATAAACATGACATATAGTTTTGTGGATGAAATTATCTGAAAGTCTCAAAAACCTGGAAATCACTTCGTGGCTAAGATTACATGAGATACCAGTGGTATTATGTATGTAATTTTGGCTGAATAGCACCCAAATACAAATAGCTTGTTTCTTCAGAAAGACTAAATTAAGAAAATTGCACTTGATTTTTTTTTCCATTGTTTTACCTAAACTTCAGATGCAGGAGTATTCTGAATATCTCAGCACATAAATAAAAACCCTGGCATTTAAATACCTTGATTTACTAAAAAGAATAAAAAAGGTTAATTATATAAACTTAATTTCTTTCAATATTATCATGTGCTTATAATAGGTACATCACTTTAAAATTATGTTTCTTTACCAGTTCAGATTTAACCAAAGCTTCAAATTAAAATGTTTTCTTTGAAACAAGTATAAATAAAAACATATAAGAAAATATTAGTAGATAATTGGTATAGTTTTTGTTCTGTGATCCACTTTAATACTTTAAAAATTAATTATTGTGTAGATAGTTTTGAAAGCCATAAATTTTGAGCAACTAGAAATGAAAAGTAAAAATTTGAGGACAAGTTACCTTATTAACTATGTTATATAATAAACCCATTTCTCCCCAAATTAAAACATGACCATTAATGAAATTTCTTGTTTGAATAAAAATTACCTTTATGTGTAATGGTTTTTTCACTAGATGGTTTGGAAGTATCTAAATCTGATTTCTTACTATACTCCATGCTTAGTACCACATCCTTGACGCCAGGAGATTTCTCTTGTGATGACAGTAATTCTTCTGTAGATATGAAAGTGTTTAAAATATTATCTAACCTTATTTTAACCATTAAGGAAAACATCATGGTATAATATCAATTGAATGACCATTTCAAGCAAAGTTGATATTTCATTATAAAATAAGTATATAATAAATGATTTCTGATGTAAACAAATGTGCTAACTGTTTTGAAAAGACTTCACTTCAATATCTTGAGCTACATAAGTGTCAGACATCTGAATAAGGTTCTGGGGAATCAGTAGTGAGTGAGATTCATGAAACACAAGAATCTGATAGACAAAAGAATGATGTATGAAATGTGAATCAACTCTACTCTTAAAGTCATTTACATACATAAAAAATGTAAAATGTGACAGATGTTCATATATGTAAGGTGACAGACAACACTGAAAAATTACACCCATAACTACAAAGCAAAACGAGGAAATAGTCCCTTCTTAAACTCATGGTAAAAGTGCCATTTCTTCATTTTCTTGGGGGTGGTTTTTGAGGGGAAGAGTTAGGAAACATTTAACTTGCACCATAAAAATATTTATCATGAAGACAAACATAATATGAATTGGATCATCTGTCCATAATCCTCATCACTGATTTGTGCATTAAGAGAAATAACAATAGAAACTATGTGAGCTTCCATGCAGGCACTGCTAAAAGCTTCACAAGCCTTACCTCCTTTTTAATCTTCACAACGACCCTATGAAGTAATTATATTTTAACAGATGAGGAAACTGAGGCTTGGATATCAATACAGTTGCCCAGACTACAAAACTACTTAGACAAAAAAGCTGGGACTTCTAAAGCAGATATGACTCTGTTCTTTAATCCTTGTGCTAAATCAAACCCCTGTCTTCAAATCCTAATGATGAATAACAAGAATTTCAAAACAATTTTCATGATTGTAAACACATAAAAATACTCCCAAGTTCCAATCATATTCAAAATCTCAGTAAATTATACTATTATGTAATTTATTGGCTAAACTGATATTTTTTGAATGAAAGGGAACACTACAAATAATTATGCAGAGTTAATAGATACCCTAAACCTAAATTACTCTGAGCAAGTGAGAATCAAAATAGTATTTTGGCCAAAACCAGTGACTATAGCATCGTCCTCCGGATTGAAGGGTCCCGGATTCAATTCCAGTCAAGGACGTGTACTTGGGTTGCGAACATATCTCCAGTGGGGAGTGTGCAGGAGGCAGCTAATCGATGTTTCTCTCTCATCCATGTTTCTAACTCTTTATCCCTCTCCTCCTCTCTGTAAAAAAAATCAATAAATAAAATAAAATAGTATTTTGCAAGGCCTACTCTAGAGTAAAAAAGTGCATTTTCAGCAAGCTATACTTTTGTGTTATATGGATAAAGATCTTAAAGTATTCATTTCTGGAATGCACAATATCCTTAAAATGGTGGAGGGAGTGGGAAGAATAAAACAGTTTAAATTATGGTTATGAACAGATGACAAAAGTTCATTATATATCTTTCAACTATTTAGGCTTTAGCCAATTTGGATGATTTGGTTAATCAACTAATAATGGTAAAATATTAGATAGGCAATTTTTCTTAAGCATTTAATATATTTTTAAGTCTTTAGAGGCTATGGAATTTTCCATGTTTTTTTAAAAGTTTGCAAAAGCTAATATTATACCATAACTGGTTTCAATTTTCACTTTTTAAAAAATGGTTGGTTTGTTTTTTAAATGATTTGAAAATTATATTGTTGGAGAAGAAATTGGTGAGTGTCAGAGTTTAAGGATGGGGAGAGAGGAAGAGTATGGTGAAAGCTATTTAGGGGTAGAACAAGGGATATCTTTGTGGTGATGGAGCAGTTCTGTATCTATCTTGATTATGGTGCTGGTTACATTAATCAGAATACATGATACATACCACAAAGTACACATATGTGCATGTATAGAACTGCAGATATGTAAGATGATTTCTTGTGTATCTATAATTATTTCAGAATAAAATGATTTAAAAATGATTTCTAGGGTCTTTTCCAGAGACAGAGTAAACTTTATCACAAAGTTTAGTTTTCACTATTGATGTGCCTCTATATATAAAGCATGACTTGCATAAACATGAACATGTCTAACAATTTAGCACTCATTAGTTTTATTGTTCTCCAACTATTTTGTGTATTACACTAGAGGCCCGGTGTATGGCATCGGGCACTGGGGGGTGGGTGGAGGGAAGAGTGGGCCTAAGCTGGCAGTGGGACATCTCCCAAGGGGTCCTTAGCGCTGCCACTGCCCTCACAGACCGTGAGCCTGGCTTCTAGCTGAGCAATGCTCCCTCAATGGGAGCACACTGACCACTAGAGACAGCTCCTGCATTGAGTGTCTGCCCCCTGGTGGTCAGTGTGCATCATAGCAACCGGTCGTTCTGCTGTTTGGTCAATTTGCATATTAGGGCTTTATTACATAGGATATTTTTACAAATTTGGCCAATTTAGAATTGTTACCAATGTTTGTTTCTCTTAAACTGATGATTGGATTGAATTTTATTATGTAATCACTAGCCATTATCCAAGTTAGTATAATGAATGAAAAAGCACAAACTTTAGCGGAGCCAAACATGTAACCTTTGTTTTTGTTTTTTTAATATATTTTTATTGATTTCTGAAAGATGAAGGGAGTGGGAGACAGAAATATCACTGGTAAGAATCATCAATTGGCTGTATTCTGCACAACCCCTACTGGAGATCAAGTCCACAACCCAGGCATTTGCTCTGACAGGCATCAAACCATGACTTCCTGGCTCATGGGTGGACTCAATCGCTGAGCTACACTGGCTGAAACCAGATCTGATCTTAAAATGCCATTAACTAAGTACATAACACAACATATAATAAATATTAAAATTATTGAAGGACTTGTAAGACAATTTTCTAACAAAGTAATTTATATATTTAAAATAAAAAGTTATTTCAAAAAAGGTTCACCTTGTCCTTGAAGATGAGATACATCCAGACCCTCTTGTAGGCGAATGACCACGACTCCATATTGCATGTCAAAGGCATCACTGTAATAGGAAAAAGGAAAGAAATTGTCCTCCTCTCTAAAATGAAGGCAGTAATTGAAGATTTTAAAATTACTTTCAGCTTTAAATGTCTGATTCTTTAATATGCTTAAAATTCTTTATTATGCTCACCATAGTGTGAGCCAAGATAGTTTCAAAAACAATACCATTCCTTTCTCTTTTACTGTAATGTTTCTAAAACTATTTGCATAAAGATCTTTATAATATTGATAATCTACCTAAAGCAGCTATTTAAAGCAGTAACTATTTTTATCCTATCAGAAACAAGCTAAATTTATGGAGCCAAGCCATTATTTAATTTAAACTTATATCCCTAAAGTCAAGAGAAATACATGAAGATAAAAATGGATTTCATTACTGAGAATTAGATCAGATTGTAGAGAATGAAGGGATCATTTCTCAAAGGAGAAACGGTATTTTTAAGTAATTTAAAAATTTTTATAAAACTAGTTATAAAAAGTACTCCTAAGATTTTATATGTATTGCAGACATGTATTCAAAAGTTGTTTTGATTTTTTTTAAACACAAATGGGAGTATCCCATACATACATAATATACATTAAACCTTTGTACACAACTCTAAAACCAGATTTAAAATTATATAAATTTTGTTAATACCCATAAATCACATCAACTCAAGTTCTCAGATCTACTAAAAAAACTCCAAATTGCAAAACTTAGGTTGTTCCATTGAGGGGCAACCAGCTTACACTTGGAAGAATTCTGGCTTACAATCCTATATAATAATAGAGGAATATGCAAATTAGCCAGGACTCCGTAATGTCTTGACCGCTCAGCAGGAGGCATGCACAGCAGGAGTGGGGGTGGGGACTGCCATCACTTGGAGGGTCTCTGTGTGGCCCAGCCCCGAGTCCCCCTGGCCTGGGGTGGCCCCCGGCAGAGGCAGCCATTGGTGGAGGCTGCTCAGCACTACTATGACACTGCCTGTGTGTGTGTCTTCCCCCAAGCCCCAGTGCTGATGTCAGGCTGCCTGTGTGCATCTCTGGCCTGGGACGTGGTGGTACCTGCATGTGTCCCCGCCCAGTGCTGAGGTAAAGCTGCTGCCTGTGTCCCCAGCCGGGGACATGAAGCTGCCTCCGTTCATATACATTTTACTAATTTCCTTTCATCTCTGACACTTCTATTATAGAGAAAGGCCAAATAGCAATATTAAAATATTTCCTCTAATTAATTCTCTTTTGATGTGCACAAATTTTGTGCACCGGGCAGCTAGTAAAATATAAACCCAAAGCCAAAGGGCAGTTACATATGTGTGAAAAAACAGCAAAGCTTTCATTTTTACAAAAAGAATTTAACAATTACTGGGGAAACCTTATTCATTGTGTATTTTATTATTTTTTTAAAGTAAAATATGAGATCTGCCTACTTTCTTAAATTGTTTTAAGGCATCTGAGAAGACAAATCTATCTTATGTGACACAGGCAAATAATTAGGTGCTTTAATGTATAGATACAAGAGGAGTTCCAGTAAGGGAAATAAATAATATGAACAGAGTAAAATCAGAAAGACAAAATAACAAAAGAAAAAAAACAAACACTAGAAAGCCCCTAACAGGGAAGTCAAAATGATGTAAACAAAAACTTAGGTACCTGATAAAGATAATTGGAAATAGCACTATACATGAATAGTAAATTCTGAACTTTATACTTTAAGGGGTGGAAAAGCAAAACATATTAGTACATTAAAAGTAACACCAAAACGAATGGACAACAATGTGGTGATTGCTAAGGAGAGGGGGATGAAAGAAGTAGAGGAGGGCATGGGGGGATAAATGGTGATGGAGACTTGACTTGGGATAATGAACACAATACAGTGTTGTAAAATTATGCACCTGAAACCTATATAATTATGTTAACCAATATCACCCCAATAAGTTAAAAAAAAAAGATAAATAACAACAAAAAAGAAAAGTAACCTGCCAAAACCGGTTTGGCTCAGTGGATAGAGCATTGGTCTGCAGACTGAAAGGTCCCAGGTTCGATTCCGGTCAAGGGCATGTACATTGGTTGCGGGACATCCCCTGTAGGGGGTGTGCGGGAGGCAGCTGGTCGATGTTTCTAACTCTCTATCCCTCTCCCTTCCTCTCTGTAAAAAAATCAATAAAATATATATTTTTTTTAAAAAGAAAGTAACCTAATAGATGAACCAAATAATTAACTGCAAAATTAGTTTGAGTGGGAAACAAATTTAACTTCTGAGGTTGATATTAGTGATGGAATCCCTTCCTCAGCATCAGATATTATTATGACACTACAGGCCTGGTGCATGAAATTCGTGCACGAGGAGGAGGATCCCTTAGCCTAGCCTGCACCCTCTCCAATCTGGGACCCTATGGGGGATGTCTGACTACCGGTTTAGGATCGGGCTTAAACTGGCAGTTGGATATCACTCTCACAACACTGGACCGCTGGTTTTTAACTGCTTGACTGCCTTCCCGAGCGTCCCTAACTGGCCCCCCTGCTGGCCTGGTCGCCCCCATCTGCACATCCCTACCCCACAGGCCTGGTTGTCCCCAACTGTCCCCCTTTGCTGGAATGGTCGCCTGACGCAGCCTGCTGTTCAGTCGTTTGGTTGTCCCTCACTAACCCCCCTGCCAGCCTTGTTGCCCCATGCAGCCTGTTGTTTCAGTTGTGATGGTCCCTGACTTTTTATATATTAGGATAACTTAGAAGGGGATGGGTCGGACAACATTCAGGAACTCTGCACAACAATAGTTTTAGGATGTGAAAAAACTAACTTAAATGGGAAGCCAAATTATATGTGTGTGTGTGTGTGTGGCATTATTATGATGATCTCTGAACGCATGATAATCTGGCCACTCAGTGTACGTCCTATATAATAAAAGGCTAATCGGCAAATTGTCCCCTCTACCAGCAGGCAGAACAGCCAACTGCTCATGTCCCCATGGCCAGGCTGGCCAGACCCCATCTATGTAGGAATTCATGCACCAGGCCTCTAATCACACACACACACACACACACACACACACACACGCATACACACACACACACACTGAGTGGCCAGATTATTATGTATTCAGAAATCATAATAATCTGGCCACTCAGTGTGTGTGTGTGTGTGTGTGTGTGTGTGTGTATGGTTTCCCCAAAAAAATCTATACACACTTTAGCTGATAGTTCAGTTTTGAAAAGAAAATGTGTTTTTAATAAACATTGCCTTAATAATTATTCAGAGTGTGTGTATACATTTTTTGGACACCCTATATGTGTATGAATGTTCATGTCTATATAAAGACAAAAGATCAGTCAAAATGTTTCATTAATAGATCAATTACAAACCCAGATAAGTGTGATTCTTTTCATTCTTATGCTTCTACTAGTAAAGACTATATGAAAAACAGGCTTCAAAAATCAGTGAAAGCTTTCAAAATTAACATTTTCTGAACTAAGTTATTGAATTAAAAGGATACTTACTGGAATACGTTTATATACATATCCACATCTCTCATATCTGCTTGCAACCAATCTTTTTTAAACCCAAGGACAAGTGTGTTTGGTTTCATACGCCCAAGACCAGCAGCCTAAAATGTAAGAAAAATACAACTTTAAAGATATACTTAGTCTTTTATAAAAATCATAGTAACAGGAGTTTTCTGTTACATCTTTTGAAAATAGCCATTAAAACATCTAAAGGCTAAATGCATTGTTGGTTACAGTTCTGAATCACATCAATACTAAATGCCCCCCAAAAAACAATGAACCACTCCTTTTGTAAGATTTTTAAAATTCAATTCCCAGGGTGTGTGTATTATTGTAGTAAAAAAAAATTAAAACATTTTACCATTTTAACCATTTAAAAATGTACAATTCATTGACATTAATTATATTTACAATGTTGGTCGAAACCGGTTTGGCTCAGTGGTAGAGCGTCGGTCTGCGGACTGAAAGGTCCCAGGTTCGATTCCGATCAATGGCCTGTACATTGGTTGCGGGCACATCCCCAGTAGGGGGTATGCAAGAGGCAGCTGGTCGATGTTTCTCTCTCATTGACGTTTCTAGCTCTCTATCCCTTTCTCCTCCTCTCTGTAAAAAAAATCAATAAAATATATTAAAAAAAATATTTACAATGTTGTACAACTAACTCCACCACCTATTTCCAAATCTGTCAAATCAGAAATTCTGTAACCATTAAGCAATAATTACTTATTCTCACCTTCCTCCAGACCTGGTAACACTGCCTTTAGTCTTTAAGAATTTGCTTATCCTAGATATTCCCTACAAGTGGAAATACCAATGTAAAGTGCCTGAACTATACAGCAAGAGCATCATGTGAAAACTTTTTGGAAATGCTAATAATTATTAGGTCCTACCTCTGACCTTCTGAAATCATTTCAAAGGGGGGCCTAGCAGTGTGTATTTTAATAAGTCTATTAAGTGATTCTCCTGCATAATGAAGTTTAAGAACCATTGCTCTAAGAAAATACTTTCTTCCATAACCTTTATTAAATATATAAGTAGTTACCAAAATGTTCCTATAAACTGTAGAAAAGCAGTAAGATTTACCCACTAGAATCAACTTTGTGAATGGGAGTCACATTCTACTTGAATTACTTAAATATTTTGCAAAGGTGAATAAAGTAGTAAATAATCATGTACCCACCCACCGCCTAGCTTAAAAAAGTAAACATTACACTCATCAAGTGTCCCGTGTATCTTTCTCATGCACCATTTGTATTTTCACTATATATTCCATTATTTAGACATACATACGTGTATATTTTAAGCTTACATATTTAAAAAGTTTGTATTTTAAAATTATTCATATAACTTGCAGTTTTTCCTTAATATTTTTTAAAGTTTATTTTTGAGATATATAGCTCTTTTTACCGTTATATAGTGTTCCATTGTATTATAACACCACAATTTAATTTTGTGATTGACAGCTGAAGGCTGAAGTTTCTTCTCCCCCCCCCCCCCCCCCCACTATCACATATGGTATTGGTAAGAAGTTTCAGATAGCCTTAAGAATAAAATGTCCTAGGATATCCACACTTTGAAATTTGCAGGACATTGCCAAGTTGCTGTCCAAAGTGATTGTCCACTCTACCACACAGTTCAAAGATTTCAATTGTTCTACATAATTGTTAACACTTGGCAGGCTTAATTTTGGTTACTTTGATAGGTATGCAGTTTTAATTTTTATTTCTATCATATAGGTTTCCTCTTCACCTTGTTGTATCTTTGCTCCCTTTTTTCTCTTACTAATTTACTAGTGGCCCAATGCACGAATCCATGTACATTGAAAGGAAATTAATTAGAAGAAATATTTTAAGAAATATTTTAATATCACTACTCACCTTTTCCCTATAAGTGTCAACCAAATACATGATAGACAATGACAGATTGAGACACATGCATGTGGTTGGTGCCAGTGAGAGCTTTCTATAATAAATTTGCTTAATTAGACCTTAGCTAAACTTTTTCCAGCCCAGAGAAGCACCCCAACTTTTCTTCCAGGTAATTGTCAGCAACACAGCAGTAAACATCAATATGAAGCACATTATTATTATAGATCACACAGGGAGAACAAAGGGTAAAATATTTAACTGCAGCAGAGTTTGACTATGTTCTGCACAGTGAGAAAATGTGAAGACATTTTCAAGATCCACCATTTATTACTTCTTTTCAGTCAGGTCAAGTTTCTTAGCTTTCTAAATCTCCATTTTCCAGCTAATGAAAAGAAAATAGGATTCCATCAAGTCTCCTATCTACCTATTACAGGACTTCTGTGAGGAACAAATGAGATGAGGCACAGGAAAACACTGAATGGACATTTGGTTAAAGTGTAAAATGTTTCCATCTGTGTTCCTGGGCTAAAGAAACTCCAAGGAGGAAAGTCACTAGGGAGAGGAAGCTGGGCATTGCTATGTGATGTCATTACCTGGCACCCACAGCCACGTTTCCGGGCTGGGCTGGGCTGTGGGCTCCATTTTATATATATATGTATATATATATGTATACACACACACACACACACACACACTAGAAGCCCGATGAATGAAGATCTGTGCAAGGATGATGCTTCCTCCCCCTGGCTGCTGGCACTGTCTTCACTCCGGCTGGGGCCACCTTTCTGCCTTACCACGCTGCCCAGTGTGGCTGGGGCCATGCAGAACACCTGCATTGTTGCCATGGTGATAATGCAAGCAAGCATCCCACCCACGGCCACATGGTGCCTGTGTATGCAAATTAACCCACCATCTTTGTTGGTTTTTATTTGCATACCCACTCCTGATTGACTGGTGGGCATTGTGAAGGTATGGTCAATTTGCATCTATAGATAGATAGTATTGCTTTATACATGGTGGACAAAAGTAGGTTTACAATTGTTCGTATGGAAAATAATATGATAGTTACTAATATAAATACTCATAACTGTAAATCTACCCTGTATATTCTGATCTATCTCCTTTGGTGTATGGCTTCCTTTTTTCACTGTCATTATAAGCAGGAAAGTATTGTCTCATTTTTTTAAAAAAATCTTTCCTAGCCAAAACAGGTTTGGCTCAGTGGATAGAGCGCTGGTCTGCAGACTGAAAGGTCCCAGGTTCGATTCCAGCAAGGGCATGTACCTTAGTTGCGGGCACATCCCCGGTTGGGGATGTGCAGGAAGCAGCTGATCGATGTTCCTCTCTCATTAGTGTTTCTAACTCTCTATCCCTCTCCCTTCCTCTCTGTAAAAAGTCAATAAAAATATATTTTAAAAAAAAAATCTTCCCTATAAAAGTTTTAAAAATTGGCCTTTCATACATGTCTTTAATCCATGGATAATCAATCATCCCAGCTCATCCTTTCAATGCTACCTCAGTCAAATATTAAATTTCTTAAATGGGTGGCTCTATTTCTTCTATTTTGTTTCATTGCAATACCACAGTGTCTTAATAACTATAGTCTCATATCTGTCAAAGAAACTCCACTCTCACCTATTATGAATCCTGAGGATTGCCTAACCTATTCTTAACCTTGTGTTTGTCAAGTTTTAAAGAAACACAAAACAGAAAGGGCTTAGGTGAGGACACTGAGCCTCCAACTTTGATTTAGCAAAACAGCTCCATAATTAACAATGAGAAAGCTTCTTTTGAAGAAAGGGGTTCCTATAAAAAATCTGTTGGCAAACACTGTATCAACCCATTTTTTTTTTTTTTTTGCTTTCCACAACCTTTAGGGGAGATGAAACTGAGTTTCAGATAATTTTATTAACTTGCTCAGTCCATATTCCATAATTCCATAATAAGGAAGTGGCAGTGCTAGCTTTTAAACCTACAGCTGATTCTAAATCCAACAATCAGGCTACTATATGCCATAGCATAAACTGAAAAAGAAGTCTCAGTTTAGTACTAGTAAATAAACAGTGAGAAAGAACTACGTAGAATTTTTTAAAAAACTGAATAAGGGCTGCCATTACATCATACTTCTACAAAACAAAACAAAACAAACCCCAATACAGTTAGAGAAGTAGGCTAAGATAATAGGTTCTTCAGTAAGCCAAAAGCACATTGTTTTTATAGTTCCTTTAACTCTCAAATTATACATATCTTCGTAGTTTACTTTAATACAGGTATTTTAAAAGGTTTACCATCTATATCAATATGAAGAATGAAATAGAATGAGAGCTTTTAAAAGCTTACAATAAACTAAAATATCATTTGAAAGGCATAAGAAATTTACCTGCATCAAATACTGTGCTCCTTCTCTCAAGTCATCTGCATGTACTGGAGCATAAAAGGCTTTCATTTTGTTTTTAATAAGCCATCGCTGATATTTAGCTTGATCAATGGACATCTCTTTCATGGCTTGTCTTCGAGGCCCCTGTAAGGTAAAAATATTAATATCTTTAATTGAAAGATAATCTATTCCACATTTATAAAAATCTATTACCATTTTCCAGCATATAAGATGACCGGGCGTGTAAGACGACCCCCTAATTTTACAGTTAAAACATAGGTTTAGGCCTATATTCGCTGTATAAGACTACCCCCACTTCCGAGGCAACACCAGTTTTTTTTTTTTTAATAGACTGCCTCTCTGACTCTGGCCAATCTGAGCAGGCTTTTTATGCATGCAAATTATACATGTTCTGTACCTGAAGCTACACCGTGTTCTAGTAAAAAGCAGCAAAAACAACTGCCTCTTTCAAAAAACACATGCAACAGATTTATCTTATAAAATTATTTCAGGTTTAGGAAGTCCCATAAATTATAAATTATATACACAGTAAAAAAAAATGTTTTAATATAGAAAACACTTACCATATGTACATGACCACAGATCATCAAACCAACATTTTTTGTGAAATCATGGACAAGATGAAGTAGAGCTGGGCGCGAGTTTGGAGCACCTGTCATAACAAGACACTGTGGCCTAATTTAAGATTGAAAATAAAAACAAAATTAAAGTTTAGGTTTTTGGCAACAAGGACATGACTTTAAGTTGTTTCTCTAAGAACATATTACACTAGACTTTCATTTATGTAAGTGTCCTCAAGACACAGGCCAGAGGATTCTCATAAAAGATGCCTTTTAGCCAGGGTTTCTTGATATATGAGAAATGCAGAAACAGAACCTTCTTAGAACAAACATCATCCAAATGTTCTTCAAAAGTAATAGGTAGTATTATATATCAAGATTCTGGTAGGTATTACAGAGGGAAACGACCATACTGATTAAAAATTATGTAACAACTGTGCATCTTCTAAAGGTAATAAATATCCCAGTTCTTTCATGGAATTCATAAAACTTCCTCAGAGCACAAAAAACAGGTCACTATCCTTCTTAGCATGATCACATGATAATTACTAGTACTTCTGCTTTGTAATATTAGCCCTTTCTATTCTAGCCTAATTTTTATGGCTGCTGCCATATAAGTAAAAGCATCTATGGTGACAAAAAAGGGTTCTATTTGGACTAAAGGTTTTCAATCTAATTAAGGTGAGAACAAAAATTAAATTGAAATGACAGAGGCATAACTTACATATTTATTTTCCCTGAGTACAAATAAAAATCAGGTTTTTGATGAAAAAAGATTTAGGTATCCTTTTTGTAAGTTCAAACAGATAAAAAAAATTTTAAAACAAGAATTTGTAAAATTAAAACAAAATAACAAAAAGTAGACTAAAAATTCTGCCTTCATCACTAATTATTAGGTTAGTTACTAACCATACTCATACAATAAGCATGAAAACCTAAATAAAAATGGAAAATATATTAACATTCACAATTTTAGCAAGCTGTCTGAAAAACCAGTTCTGTCTGGGAGCGCTGCTTTGGAGCAATTAAACATGAAATCTTCCTCTGTGGCCCAGCACGCTAATATAGTCCACTGTCCCCATATGAGCGTTAGCAGGTTAGGCAGGCTCCCAGCTACAGATTATATTTCTTAGCCTTCCTAGCAGCTAAAACTAGCCTCTTGACTGGTCTACAGCCCATATGACATTCCTGTTTCCAGGTTGTGTCCCTTAATAAGGAAGCTGGCCTCCTTCCGTACTTTCCTATAAGCTAGACAATGGATGTAGTAATGACATTGACCACTTTGACAAAAACACCTCCTATGGAATGGCTGACTGAGAAGATACAAAGAATGTGTGACCCGAATGACAAAGTGCAGCAAATCTAATTACCATGAATCATCCATCTGTCTCTGGAATATCACATAACACCGATGTCTATCTTATTTAGGCACTATTTTTTTCAACTTTTTGTTATGATAATTTAAGTTATACTCAATATTACTTTGGGAAATTAATTTGTAGTTCTTATCTTTACTTAATAGTAAATATAGCACAAAGGCATACATTATTTGGTACAGTTTTATCATACCAAAAAAGGTATGGCACAAAATATATTAGGAATGACTGTTAATAACAATGACAAAGTATGAACATCTCATGATATCATGAGATTTTTTTTTAAGGCACAACACCAGGAAAATAAAAAGAATATTTACAATAGGCTACAACAGTATTGAACTATTAATAGCTAGAAAATAGATGGAAGAATAAAGGATTTTACAAATCAGGAAAAAGCTAAATCCTAAATGAACATAACAGAAATCTGTGAAGCTAAGTGATTTTACATCTAAAAATATTATCCAAAAGCCTAGGAGTTAGAGGCAGTAGATACATCTGGACGTGGCCTGGGGGGGGGGGGGGGGTGGTGGTGGAGGAGGGGCAACTTGTTAAAGAAACTAAAATAAAGAGTGGTTTAAAGTTTTCATTGACACCCCTGGCCGAGGTGGCTCAGTTGGTTCAATTTCCAGTCAGGCACATCCCTGGGTTTCATGGTATGGATGACAAATCAATCAATGTTTCTACCTCACATAAATGTCTATTTCTCTCTGAAATAGATTAAAAAAAACATATCCTCAAGTGAGGGGGTAAAAAAAAGAAGCAACTAGACAAACCCAAATTATTTCCATCATTACGATGTCCTTCTGCAATCCTATTAGTTAGGGCTTACTTGCTAGAGAGGGCCTCTCATTACTTTTTCTTTTTTCAATTTCTCTTTACTCCAAAGCTGAAGATCTGTGGTCTCTGGGAACTTTTCATTTGACAAAAAAAGGAGAGGTGGATCGAAATAAATAACAAAAAGAACACACAAAAACTTTTCCTACTGAGAGAAATCTGGTATGGCAAGTCTTTACTGGTGCTTATCCTCTCTTTAGGGTTTCGAGAAAAATCATTTTCCCTTTTGCTTCACTGACAAACATGCAACATATTTCTGTGTTTACTTACATTATAGAATAATTTTTAAGTTGATAACTGTTCAAAAATATTAAAATATAAAGTCATTTGAGAAAAACAGTAATAAATATTCTATTCTACATTGACTCTGTCATTAAAACTGATTTCTGTTTGTCAAAGATGAGAAAGAAGCAATTAACATGAAACTATGTAACACCATAAAATTACAAAATACAGTATGTCAAAAAGTTATGGATTTATTACTTAGTAGTTATAAACTATTTATATGATTTCAGTGGTCACGGAGAAGATGATGCCTACCATTTAAAAGGCTTCAGATGAGCCTGGCTGGTGTGGCTCAGTAGTTGAGCATCCACCTATGAACAGGAGGTCACAGTTTGATTCCTGGTCATAGCACACGCCCAGGTTGTGGATTCTCTCCCCGGTAGGGGCTGTGCAGGAGGCATTCTCTCTCATCGGTGTTTCTATTTCTTTCTTTCCCCTCCTCTCTTAAGTCAATAAAAATATTTAAAATATATAAATCAAAGTCTTCAGGTGAGCCCTGACCACTATTGCTCCTCAGTGGTTAGAGTGTTGGCCCAAACGCCACAGGGTCACAGGGTTATTTCTGCTCAAAGTCACATACCTGGGTTGCAGGTTCAATCTCTGGCTCTGGTTGGGGCATGTGTGACAGGCAACCAACCAATGTATCTTTTCACCATAATCTTCTCTCTCTCTTTCTCTCTCTGTCTCTGTCTCTGTCTCTCTGTCTCTCTCCTTCCTCCCTCTCTTCCACTCTCTCTCTCTAAAATAAAATTTTAAAAAATCAATGGAAAAATATAAAAATAGAAGTCTTCAAATGACATTTTGTAGATGATAATTTACCTCTTTGTAAAATTTGATAACTAAGAACCTCAACCTTGTTTTTGACTAACTGCCCAAGTCCAACAACAACCAATATTCTATGTATACTTTTAGAGAACTTCTCATGAAATACCAGTATATAAAAATGTTCCTGAGCAGTAACTGAATAACTGATTGCCACCTAAGACAAATGTTTCTGTATCACCTTATCACTTACCTAAAGTTTTTCACATGGTCTTCCACTCCAGAAAGGCGAATGGAATGCTGCAGGGCACTCAAGTAAGTCAGGGCTTGTGTGGAGGATCCCCAGTTCACATCTGTGGGAAGATAGTGTTCATGCAGAACACCAGTATTAACAGCCAATCAGTAACCAATGAGACACAAAAAGAAGTAAACAATGCTTTCCCGTTTAAAAAGTCAATTGCTAAAATAAACTATTATAGTTGAAACTTTTAATAGTTCAAGTTCACAGCATGACATTATGAAAATGCTAATGTGAACTATAATTGCATTTAAAGAGAAAGTACAATTTAGAAAAGACAGGGATGACAGGGCTGCATGCAATTGCATGAATATGCGTGCAATTCAAGAGTGTTTTATAAAGGAAACATTTCGAAATTATTGTTTATATTGCCAAAGGTTAAAAGGAAAAGAGGCAGCTCTCCAAATGTTATTTATAGTACTTAACAGTTTTAAGTTATTTTAATAGACAATTTTTTTTCTTATTGATAAACAGCCTAAACACAGATGATTTTAGGCATTTGTTACTTTAGAGACTAAATAGACATATTAGAGAAATGATTCCCTCTAAGATGGTTAAAATAATATATTCTTTGTCCATTTCATTTCTAAAGCTACCACTGTAATGCAAAACCTCATCCTGTAGTATTAGAATTACGTAATGTTACCTCACGACTACTCTGCAACTACTCTTGTAATCTCTTCCTAATCTATTATGTTAAGCCAAAATCTTTTAAACCTGTATCATTGGTTTAAAAGTGTTACAGGTTACCACAGTGAATAGTGGACCAATCCTTTATATAGCTTATCATTATCTGATATGAAGATATACCACGTTTTAATAAAACACATTCAAGGTAATCTTTGACCATTTTGCAGTTAAAACATGTTAGTCCAGTTTTCCCTGCCACACAGTGAGCTAGTGGGAAGATACTAAGTCTTCTGGTATTCTGTGATTTCATGTTATTACAGTAGGTACAATAGGTAGATCATACATACATATGCTAATTAAGCTATCAAGCTTCTATAGCACTGCAAATCTAATCCTTTCAAATAATAACTTTAAAATTTGTTGAGTGCTACAGAATGTTAAATACATAAACTTGTTATATTTCTACAAATAAGATTAAATTTAATTTATGGGGAAGAAAAGAATTCCATAGAGTAAAATGTCACAATTCTTTCAATAAAACTACATGTATTTGGAAATAAAATATTTGAAGTTTTATATAACCCTGACCAATCTGGCTATACCAAGTACCATTTAATTATGTATAAGATGATGCTTATATATGGAAAATAACAAAGAACTGCTAGGTGTTTCTAGCTTGAAATACAAAATAAAAAAGGTTACTGACCTGGCTTTTTATAGGTAACATAAATATATAGCCCAAGGACTATCACATATGTCAGCAGTGCAGCCCACCAATTAATGACAAACATCACTATGCAACAAAGAATTGCTCCAATAAGCGATATCCACATATTGTAGTATTTGAATGCAGGACGCCATCCTATCAATAACAAATAAAGTAGATAAATACAAGTCAGTCATATACCTCACCTCATCTGCTTCACATGTATGCAAAAATAACTTTCTTTATGGCTACTCCAAGAGAGGGCTTTAAACATAACAGTAAAGTCATAGACCATAGATCATGATTTCATAATTCTTGATGGCCATGAAAAGGGCACACCTATTTACTTCCACATTACTTTATCTTACTAGTTCTGTATCCAGTAAACTTTTTACCCAAAAAAGTGTAAATCAGCCTATCACAGTGAACACTTAAAACTAAAGACAGTTTTTAAAAAGAAGTTTAAATTGAGACCTAAATAGTGTGGTGGTTTTTTCTTGATTTTTAGTATGAGACATATCCATATTCTAATGAATATACCAACCAGTTTAAACAAAATGTGCTTGAGCATTGTTAAAACTTCATTTATTGCCCTGACTGGTTTGGCTCAGTGGATGGAATGTCGGCCTGTGGACTGAGGGGTCCCAGGTTCTATTCCAGTCAAGGGCATTTACCTTGGTTGCAAGCACATCCCCAGTGGGAGGTGTGCAGGAAGCAGCTGATGGATGTTTCTCTCTCATTGGTGTTTCTAACTCTCTATCTCTTCCCCTTCCTCTCTGTAAAAAAAAAATCAATAAAAATATTTTTTTTTAAAGAAAAAAAATTCATCTACTTATTAAAAACAACAACAAAGCACACCTAATAGTTAATAATAGAAACATATCTTCCCATTTGGTGAATTATTTATAAATTAAGCTTCACCCAAGAAAATGTTGAAGACCATGTTCTAAAATGTTCATTCATAGTTAGTTCCACAGGCACTAACTATGTTAAGTCTATTCTATACAATTTATGTTTTTAAAATTAAACTTAATTTTGAGATAATTATAAATTCACACAGAGTTCTGAGAAATAATAGATTCCAGTTACCCTTACCTTGTTTCTCCCAATTATAACATCTTGCAAAATAATACTACAACTTCACAACTAAGATATTGGTATTCATACATTCAAATTAAAGCAATTTTAATTTAATAAATATGTATTTTTTTTAAAGTCCAACATAGCCCCAACCAGTTTGACTCAGTGGATAGAGTGTCAGCCTGCGGACTAAAGGGTCCCAGGTTTAATTCTGATCAAGGGCATGTACCTTGCTGTGGGCACTTCTCCAGTAGGGAGTGTGCAGGAGGCAGCTGATCGATGTTTCTAGTTGTCTATCCCTCTCCCTCTCCCTTCCTCTCCGTAATAAAAAATATATTTTTAAAATTAAAATTAAAATTAAAAACTCCAACACAAAGATCCCTGTGTTACACTTTTACAGCCATACCCATCTCTAAAATTTAAATTTTTAAAGTAAAATATGAAACTAAGGTAATCGTGTTCTAAGTTTCCGTACTTTATTCTTTCTTATTCTGAGAGACTTTTAGGTCCCTTAAAGGAAAACTACTTTTGTTCCTTTATTTCTTTCCCTGAGGTCCAACTGGTGTCATGGTTTATAACAAAAATCCCCTAACAGAAAGTCTTTTCAGTTGATAAAGACCTCCTATAAAAGAAATCCATAAACCACAGTGTTAAAAATATTTCTGGAAAGGCTAACTATATAATACTAGAGGCCTGGTGCATGAAATTCATGCACAGTTGGGGAGGGGTGTCCCTCAGCCTAGCCTGCACCCTCTCCAATCTGGGACCCCTCAAGGGATGTCCGACTATCCATTTAGGCCCAATCCTACTGGTCAGTCGGACATCCTTCTCACAATCCAGGACTGCTGGCTCCCAACTGTTCGCCTACATGCCTTCCTGATTGCCCCTAACCACTCAGCCTGCCAGCCTGATCACCCCTAACCACTCCCCTGTCAGCCTGATTAATGTCTAACTGCTTCCCTGCCAGCCTGATTGCCCCTAACTATCCTCCCCTGCAGGCCTGGTCACCCCCAACTGCCCTTCCTTGCAGGCTTGATCACCCCAACTGCCCTCCCCTGCTGGCCTGACCAACCAGACTGCCTTTCCCTGCTGGCCAGACCACCCCCAACTGCCCTCCTTTGTATGCCCAGTCAACCACAACTTCCCTCTTCTGATGGCCATCTTTGACCACATGGAGGCAGCCATCTTGTGTATTGGAGTGACAGTCAATTTACATATTACTCTTTTATTAGATAGGATAGAGGCCTGATGCACAGGTGGGGACTGGCTGGTTTGCCCTGAAGGGTGTCCGGATCAGGGTGGGGTTCCCTAGGGCGTGGGACAGCCTGGGCAAGTGGCCTGTCGTGGCTTGCAGGCTGGCCACATCCTCTGGTGACCCAAGCGGAGACCCTGATATCTGGGATTTATTTATCTTCTATAATTGAAACTTTGTAGCCTTGAGTGCAGGGCAGGGCAGGCTAGGAAGTTTGGCTTCTTCCATTGCGGGGGAAACCCATGCCTCCTGCTGGCTCTGTGGCCACAGCCATTTTTGTTGGGATTTATTTATCTTCTGTAATTGAAACTTTGTAGCCTGAATGGAGTTCATGGCAGGCCAGACTGGGTGGAAAGCTTGGCTTCCTCCATTGCTCAGGAAACCCAAGCCTCCTGCTTGCTCCATGGCTGCAGCCAGCTTGGTTGGGTTAATTTGCATACTTATTTCCAATTGGCTGGTAGGTGTAGCGGAGGTATGGTCAATTTGCATATTACTCTTTTATCGATATGTGCTGACCACCAAGGGGTGTGTGTGGAACGTGGTGGGCATTGGCCATGGTGTGGGGGCCACCAGAACAAGGCAGGGTGCCAGTCGCTGTCATCTGGCTGGGCCTCTGGTGGTTACTGAAAATTCTTTGCTCCCCCACACCGTGGTCCTGCCTGGTGCTTGCACCTGCTGCTGGCCCCAATCGCCCCTCAGGACTTCTCCACCTCCCCCTGCTTCTGCGGGGTAATTGGGGCTATTAGCTGCCTCTCACACCCGCTGCCGGCGATGGGCCCACTCGCACCCGCTGCCATTACCAGAGCTGCTGCTCACACCCACCGCCAGCCCCCAGCGCTGGTCCCAGTGGCTCGGCTCCATCAGCAGGTGCAAGCGGCAGTTGCCAGCCCCAATTGCCCTTGAGGGGCAATCGGGTTAGCAGCTGTTGCTTGCACCCACTGTTGGTGCCAGCCCTGCTTGCATCTGCTACTGGCGCCAACCCTAATTGCTCTGTGCTCAGCAGTGGTGGGAGTGGGGCTGCCAGCAGATAGCACCAGCAGCTGCAGCAGGAGGGGCCAGCTGAGACCCGCCCCTGTGCCCACTGCAGCCTTGTGGCCCACAGTTCCTTTCAAGGTGCACGAATTTGTGCACTGGGTCCTGAGTATTATAATATTCTTAGAACTGAAAGACAAAGCAGATAAATGAAAACAAAACAAAAAAGAAAAGTCTTTCACAGTGCTGCTCAGATTTTTAAAACAAAATACAAAATATTACCAGTAAACTTCACAATAAAGAGATCTTTGAAGACTCAATTTGACTCAATTATAAAGGCAGACTGAGCATTAATGAGCTAATCCCACACATACAATTTTCTAAAATGTATTAGTTTTATTTCCTCTAAAATCAAAGACATTACATTTAAAAAACTTTTTAAAAGTGTAAAATCACCTGGAGATTTTGCAAGTGATGCATGGAATACTGAAAAATTGATCAGTGCATAGGATGCAAGGAAGAAGTTAGAGATAATTGGAGCAATAACATTCAGTTCAGCTGCAAAAGAAACAAGGCACATTTACTGACATATTAGACATTTTTAACTTTTCAAAATTATGAATCATTTCAAAATATCAGATAATGGAATAAATCTATTCCTATATTGGCCATCCAGATTAAATAACATACTTTACTTTTCAGAAATCAAATCTGAACGTTACTGTTGAAGCCCCTGTATACATCACTCTTCTAAAACTGGTATATTCTTTTTCCAATGCTATATAGTTTTACTACATACATAAAACATAGCCAACCAGTATTATGCAGTATTGTTTGGGTGTTTTAAAAGTTACATGCAATTTGACTTTACACTTTCTATATTTGAAGTTTATCCATATTGATATATGAAAACCAAGTTCATTCTTTTATACTGCTAAATATTATTCTGCAGTTTTGTTCTTTCACTGATAGTTATTCAGGTTGCTTCCATTTTTTACTATTATAATTAACACTAAAAACATTTTTGTATATGGGCATAAATGCAAGATTCTGTAGGGTACATTCCCCTAAAGAGAACTGCTGAGTTTCAGGAAATTTTACTAAATGTTGTCAACTTATTCTCAAAAAGCAGCTATACCAAATACATATTTAACATTACATGAGAGTTAGTTTCCACACCTGGTAGTATAATCAGACATTTAATAAAAGTCGAATGGACAGGTGATCAGAGGCAAAGAGCAGGCAAGAAGAGGCCGCACTTTTAGGGGAGATGCTGAAATCCTTTTCTTTATGCTATTACTGAATTTTTTAGGGACAAGAATCTAACAGTCCTTTCTACCCATAAAAGGGACTTAGTGATAGTAAAAATTTAAGAAAATATGTATTGAGTGCTATTATTTGCAGTATTTTTAAGCACTCTTTTGATCAGGAACTAATTTAGTAAATTAGGCAAAGTAACATCAAAATCTACATTAGCACACCATTTATTTGACTAACCAATTAAGATGAATCCAAGTGCAATTAAGAATGTTAAGATATAACCACGAAGAGGTTCGTTATTTTTCCCATAACCTTTAGCAAACATCTGGAAAGCTGGGTAGATGTTGTCCTTGCATAGAGCCTAATGAAGAAATGTAAACAATAAAATGAAACATTTTAAATTAGACACACAGATTTGCTTATAGTTACAGCTGGTTAGTCAGGAATGGAGCCCATATTTCTAATTCTTTGTCCTCTCGATTTCTCTAGCTCATACTGCTTCACCTACATATTGTACAGGAGAGTCATTCATTTTTAAGAGTCAGAAAGAGTATAGAATATCAGAAGTTTTTGTCCACCTTACTCCCTGCTCATGCTGAAATTCTTTTATGAAGAAAGAATCAGAAAAAAAAAAAAAAAAAAGGCATACAAATAGAAGAAATTTAGAAGCTTGAGAAGTATGACAGAGATGGGAACTGCTTTACAACAAGTCCAAATGCTAGACTTACAGCAATAAGAATCCAAATTACAGAACTTAATTATTTTTCTTAATACTATAAACTGGTTGAGGTTCTTTGTGTGTTTTTGTTAATCCTCACTCGAGGATATTAATATTTTCTCCTTGACTTTTAGAGAGAATGGAAAAGAGGGAGAGATACAAAGAGACAGCAACATCTATGTAAGAGAGACACCTTGATTGGTTGCCTCCCATATGCACTCCAACTGCGGCCGGGGACTCAGCCTGCAACTGAGATGTGCCCTTGACCAGAATCGAACCTTCAATCCTAACAATCTAATCACTGACCCAGACTGGCCAGGGCCTAAAAACTGTTTTAAGAAAGATATCCTACATCTTTACTGACTGGCTACAACTACAACATTAAAAACAGCTGCAGACTCAACATTTTGTTGGTTTGATTTAGTAATAAAAAAAATTTCCTATTCAGTATCAGCTATTCATTTAATGCTCATTAAAGTGAGATAATATCTATCTCATTCATCATTTCACTCAATGTATAGCACTTATTAGGCATTCAGACATCTATAAAATAAAACTTTGAGGTTGGTGTCATGCTATTGGAAACAAGATACTTTAATTCTTCTGATTTATGGTTTTGGAGCTCACTCCTTGTCTTTGGTACAACACTATGAAAATTTATACTATCAAAAAATGTCCAAAAAAGCAAAAAATCATTACTACTTCCAGAAACACAATTCAAGGACTATAACAGTATGTAAATGCACAAATGTTATATAAATATTATATATATTCAAAATATATATATTTTCATATGCATAAAATTAAGTATACCTTTTGATATGTGTGTGTGTGATAGTATATATTTGGGATTGACAGAAGTAATTAATTTAAAAATATTAACAATCTCAGATTATATTAACTAAACACTCCTTTAATAAAGATTATAATGTGAAAGTACTTACCTGAAATATTTTGGGAGCACTCACAAGGGATGCTAATGCAGAAGAAAGAGTGGCTGAAAAGATACCTGCAGAAATCAATGGAGCAAATCCTGACACCATGCTCATTACCTTAAAAAAAAAGGGGGGGATAAAATGGAAAAATAAGTCTTAAAAAACAATTATGAAAATACAATATTATACATCATTATTCTAATGAAGGAGACAGTAATAAATTGTTATGGTCATTACAAATTCAGAAATAGATCTACCACTAGCTCTTAAAAACTTTATTTTACAAAATTGTAGACACACAATGACAAAGAAGAGCATCTTGAGCCATCAAGGACCCATCACCCAATTTCAACAATGACCTACTCAGGGCCAATCTGCACATATTGTGAACCAAACTACAGATATCACCTATATACTAGTATATAAAAGCCTAAGCAACTGGCCAACTGGTAGCTTTCACGCACACTGACCATCAGGGGGCAGACACTCAACGCAGGAGCTGCCGAGCTGCAGTGACTGGGCAGCTATGGTTCTCGAGTGATGCACCTGGAATCAGAGAGGAGGAAGCCTGATTCCAGGGTGCATCACCCAAGAATCACCCTCTCACAATCTGGGACCCCTTCGGGGGATGTCAAAGAGCCAGTTTGGGCGCAATCCCTGCAGGCCAGGCCGAGGAACCCCACTGACTCCCCACTTTGGGTCTGGGTCCCCACCAGGCCTCTAGCCCATTGCAGAGGTCATGGGTCTGGCCCTTATAGAAACTTTTCAATTAAATTAGCTAAATGATGAGATACACAGGACCTACTGGCTGCAGCCCCGCCATCTGGTGGCCATGCCAGCCCATTCACTTAATGTCAATTTCCAGTGGAGGCAGTAAATTTTCCCATTACTACTCTTAGCCGTGGCTTTTCTCCTTCTGGGTGGACAATAGCACCAATGGACAACCTCGGGGAGAGGAGACGAAGGAGCAGCTCAGGTGGGAAGAAGGAGGTTCCTGACAGCACAGGGCTCCGCCTGAGCAGAAGGGCCTGGGTGGGAGCCTATATTGAGCAGGGTCCTGCTCCAGGCCAACTAGATTCCAGGCTAAGTAAATCCTGTTTGCTAAACAATTACATTTTGCAGTTAAATGCCTACAAGTCGTCAGTTACCCCCAAACTTAGGGTAAAGTGAGATGAAAGAAGATATAGAAAGTGACACAACATTGGGAGAAAAGGGAACCCAATTCCTCTCACAATCTGGGACCCCTCCCTCCCACCCCCACGGATGTCAGAGAGCCAGTTTTGGCCTGATCCCCCACAGGCCAGGCTGAGGAACCCCACTAGTGCAGGAATCCATGCACCAGGCCTCTAGTATGTATATAAGATCTTTGGTTAATCTCTTCCCACCCTCTTTCCCTCTGAGATTCGTAAGTCTGTTTCATGTTTCCATGCCTGCGTTGAGTGTCTGACCCTGGTGGTCAGTGCGCATCATAGCAACTGTTTGAATGGCTGGATAGTCGCGTAGGCTTTATATATATATAGATGGATAAGAACTTTTAAAACCTGTAATTGCAAAGCCACTGTCACCGCTTAAAAACTAAATAATTTCTTTACAGCACCAAATAGCCACACAGCATTCAAATTTCCCAAACTGTCCTCTTGCTTTTCAAACTGGCTTATGCAAATAAGTATTGGCAAAAAGATTATACTTTACATTTAATGTGTCTCTTAAAAGTCTCTTTAAATCTGCAGGCTCATCTTTTCCTTTACATTTTATATTTATTTTATCATTTCTCCTATAAATCTGCCCCCCCATTCTGGATTTTGCTAACTGCATTTCCACTTTGTTGTTTAACGTGTTTCTTCTCATCTCTGAATTTTAGTCAACTGCTAAGTAGATATTGAGTTAATCAGATTGAAGTACAAATTTTCTGGCAAGAATATTTCAAGGTGATGTGATATACTTCCGTCAGGAAGGTTATGTTTTTGGATATTAAAATAATAGATGGGTATTATGATGTTTTTTAATTTTTTGTGTGTATTTGTTTTGCTTTCCTTATCTTTGTATGTGTTCAAACATTTTCACATAATGAAGTATTTCTTTTTAAATGGATAGATCATTTAGATCATAAGACAATCAGATAAATCCAAACTGAGGGGTACAATATCCAAACTGAGGGGTATAATGCAGAACAATGTGCCCTAACTCTTCAAAATGTCAGCATACTGAAAGATTAAAATAGGCAAACTGGGAACTCCTCTAGGTTAAAGGATTTTAAAATAACATAGGAACTAACTGTCATGCATGATCCCTGTTTGGATCCTAAATGTGGGAAAAATAGCTGTAAATGATATCTGTGGGACAAGCAGGGAAATATTAATATGGTATATTTAGATAAAAGTATTTTATCAACATTAAATTGCCTGAATGAAATAATTGTACTGTGTGTGTACAGAATGTTTTAAATACTTCAAAGTGGCTAGAGGCCTGGTGCACCAATTCATGCACCAGTGGGTGTCCCTCAGCCTGGCCTATGGGTTTGTCCCCCAAGGGGTCCCAGATTGTGAAGACACCGGTCAGGCAAAGACACCCCACTGGTGCACAACTGTGGCTGAGAAGGGATGCTGGAGGTTGGCCAGCTGGGGAGAGACTGCAGGAGGGCTCCAGGGCATGTCTGGCCCATCTTGCTCAATTCCGATCAGCCAGACCCCAGAGCAAGCTAACCTACCAGTTGGAGCATCTGCCCCCTGGAGGTCATGTCATAGTGAGTAGTTGAGTGGCCTTAGCATACCATTAGCATGTTTTGCTTTGATTGGTTGGATAGATAACCCAACAACCAGACACTAAGCATATTAGGCTTTTATTATATACCGTGTTTCCCCGAAAATAAGACATCCTCCGAAAATAAGACCTAGCGCATGGAAAAATAAGATATCCCCTGAAAATAAGATCTAGTGCATCTTTAGGAGCAAAAATTAATCTAAGTCACTGTCTTATTTTCGGGGAAACAGGGTAGATGTTTGAGGAGAGAAAGAATATACATACATAGAAAAATAAGCAATGGGGCAAAATATAAACAACTAGTAAATATAAGTGAAGGATAGGTACACAGATGTCCATTGCACTGTTCTTTCTGCACCTTTGAAATTTGTCAAAATTCCAAACTGAGTCCTGGCAGGTGTGGCTGAGTTGGTTAGAATGTTGTTTCGGTTTTGATTCCCAGTGTGAGAGCACATACTTGGGTTTCAGGTTCAGTCCCGGTAGGGGCATGTACTTGGAGGCAATCTCTCTCTCACTCTCATTTATATTCATTGTAAAATCAGATTTATGCATACGAAACTCCTCTTTATTTGAATGAGTGCATACTAGACTTGATAAAGACAACGTACTTTTCTGTTTTAAGGCAGCAGCACAGAAATCTGATTGGCATTTCAGTCACCGGGCAGAGACTAACATTTGTGCCTTTCATACACAATATCAATGTCAGAATTGGCCTGAATCATTAGCTGGACATGAATACTTCCTTTCACTTCTATAATTTTGCCTAATCTTGTGACTAGCAAAAACAAACTTGTTACATAATTGGGTTCAATATCACAGAAAGTGCAGTCAATTGCATGAAATGATACAATAGAAAATAAAAATAATGCCATTGAAAACTTAAGTCCCAAATTTTTTATAAAAAAATGTATATATTCTACATAAAATTTACTTTTCTGAAATATATTAAATCCTCAACTATTCTGCATAATATATTTACATAATATTCAAAAACACTAGGAAGCAAAATTTTTATTTTACTTTGAATTAGAATCATCTATTGTAAAAAATTATATCTATTATAAAAATAGATGTTTTAGTCTCCGAATCTATTACATCTTTGTTTTATTTTTCCTTCTAGCATTCTATGATTTATCAAGCAACTCTGAAAATTATCTTAGTAATTCCTTCTCCCTTTATTTTATTTTATATTATTTTGTTTAATCCTCACCCCAGGATATTTTCTATTGACTTTTAGAGAGAGTGGAAGGGAGAGAGAAAGACAAAGAGAAATATCGAGGTGAAAGAAACACATCAATTGGTTGCCTCCTGCACGCAGCCCAGGTGAGGAGGAGCCTGCAACCAAGAGGTACACGCCTTTGACCAGAATTGAATTCAGAACCCTTTGGTTCACAGGCCAGTGCTCTATCCACTCAGGCTAACTGGTTAGGGACCCTTCTCCCTTTATATAACCTATTCTCCATTTCTAAAAACCTGTAACTTTTATAAAAAATAAAATGACCAGAACCTTTAAAGGGGTATTTATATTAAAATAATTTATATACCTTTAATTAGAAAACTGAACTCATTTTGGTTAGTATGGATTTAAACTGCTCAAAATAAAAATTAAATACTTAGGTGTATATCTAACAAAATATGTACAAGACTTGTATTTTGAAAACTACACAATGCTAATGAAAGAAGTTCTAAGTAAATGGAAAAGCATACTGTGTTCATGGATTGATACACTCAACATAATATAAATATGTCAGTGCTCCCCCAAATTGAAACACAAGTTTAATAGGGTTTAATGGACTTTTTGTAAATAGAATGAAAACATAAGATTATTCTAAAATTTATATGGAAAAGCAAAGGGAACTAAAGTAGCTAAAACAATTTTGAAAAAGGATAAAATGGGAAATATCAATCAATCTGACTTTAAGATTTACATAACTACAGTAATCAATAATGTATGGCATTGGTGGAGGAATAAACACACAGATCAATGGAACAGACAGAGAATCCAGAAATAGGTTCAGCAAACATAACCATGTATTATGCTTGATTCCATCCTTTCTCAAACAGTGTATTACATATATTATAGTCTTAGTATTACCCTTGGGGGTCCTTCTGCTCTTGAATGGCTTCTGATTTTACCTTTTCATATTTTTATGTTTGTCCAATTAGTTACCTACAGTAACTAATTTTTTTTTTTTAATCTAGATATAATATAAAAACAGTCCTCCTTTCTAAGTTACTGGTGTACTCTGAATGGTCAGATTTGATAGTAGTCTGACATCTAGATATAGAATGTGTTATAACATAAATTTAATACTCACCTGGAAGTTGTTCATTAGGCCATAGGAACAAGGATTGCTTTCACAATAAGAAAAGTCAAAGTTTAATTTGCAGGCTGCGGAAGTACAGTTTGTGAGCTCTGTCACAATAGTATCGTTAACGTTCCCGGTGGCATCCCGAACAACACAAGAACCTGAAGCACAAGCGACAATGAGAACAAATAATAGAGCTAATGTTTATATTCATTTCAAATTATATATACCCCTAAAGAAATTATGATACTGACTGCAAATGAACTTGCTTATATTGGCTTACACTGCATTCACAGTTAAGATAGCTTTATGTGGAACAGAATTGGGAAAGCATCATTGTCCCCAGTATTTTAGTGAAATGGAACTGGGTAGTATTTACACATATACACTTAACAAACTGTAAAATATCGATGTTTATAAATGGTATATTAGGAAAACTATTCCTTGGCCTATTTGGTTAAGATGTCCGTAAGCAAATATAAAAACATTGCGTTGAAAGAGTTCCATATGGCAGAGGTATTTTCCTATACTTCAAATACTTTGAACAATATGAACATTAATAAATTATAATTCTATTTAAACTTTTGTCTCAAGTAAGTCTAACCTGGTATTATGAAAATATGGTATCTCAGGTTTGTTTAAAAATAACTTTTAGGGCAGAGTGAATGGATATAGATGAAATAAGATTAACCATGTACTGATAATTCTTGAAAACTTCCTGAAGCTGGATAATAGTTATATTGGGCTCATTAGAAAATTCTCTCTACTTTTGTGCAAAATTGAAAACTCCAATAATAAAAATTTTAAGTTTTCTTGAAGATATTCATTATTTGAAATAACATGATGCATAGTAAGTAATAATCGTTCCTTAGACCTCATATATTTTTACTTTTGAAGCATTTTAACACTACTATCTGATCATATATAAGGCATTATAGCAAACACTGAACAATAAAGAAAAGAATATTTTAATGACTAAACAGACTACACATGGTCTCATTTCTTTTTTAAAGAGAGAGAACAGGAGAGATAAAGATAGGCACCCTAACCAGGGACCAAATCCAAAACCTGGGCAAGTGCTGTGACCAGGAATTGAACCTGTGACCTTTTGATGCATGGGGCAACACTCAACCCACTGAGCTACACCAACCAGCAAGAGCTACACAAAGTTCTATATTCTTAGAAGCCCAATGCACAAAGATTCGTGTCAGAATGGGCCTTCTTTTCCCTGGCTGCCAGCACGGCCTTCGCTCTGGCCAGAGCTGCCTTTCCACCTTCCTACACGGCTCAGAGGCCCAGAGCGGCCAGGGGCATATGCAAATTAGCCCACCATCCTTGTTGGGTTAATTGGCATATGCACTCCTGATTGGCTGGTGGACTTCGTGGAGGTATGGTCATGTTACTTTTAGTATGTTACTTTTATTAGGTAGATTCTTAATCTAACTTTCAGAGCAGTGTTTTCTTAAAGGTACTTCTGAAACAATAGGAGAACTGAGCCCTGTCTATACCTAAAGCAGTTATGCTTTTATGTGTTTTTTGTGTTTCATGTTCCAAAATATGTTTTTTGGGAGAAAGCTTCATTGTTTTGAACTAGTTACCCAATCACTGGTGTAGAGGCAATCTTTACTGGTTCAGCCACTGAAGACCAGAGAGAAAGGGCTACTTCTATTGCTCCAAGGGCTAATGTAGGCAGAATAAAATGAGTATGTGGACCAGTAGTGTTAGAGGGTCAGAAACAAACAGAAAATACTTATCTGCTATAACAAATTAGTTTCCAATTTAAAATATAATCATTTGTTAAATTAAAACTAAATTTTCTTTAGCTTGTGTATAGAATATATAAGAATACTAGTAGAAACTTTTAAGGAAACAAAAAATATTTTGGTAACATTATAAATAGCATATAGTTGTTTTTTTTTAATTATATTTATGTATGGATTTTAAGGCTAAATGAAATCTAATTTATTTATTTATTTTTTTAAATATATTTTTTTATTAAATTATTATTTTTTGTACATATATCATTGCCCCCCCCATACATACCCTCCCTTCCCAGAGTTTTGTGACCAGTGGTTGTACTTATATGCATATAATTCCTTTTTTAAATTTTAGTTTAACATGCTACAATAATACTGATTATTGGCTTTTCTAACTCTCTTTTACTGATATTTCAAGATGATTGTTTCAAGATGATTAAATGCAGTGCCTAGCATTTTTACATTAATGAAAATTAGCAGAAGAGTTTGTAAAAACATTTCTGTCAGGACTTCCCAAAAATGACTGAATGTACAGCAAAAGTGAAATTTTCTTACTGAAATACTATGGAAACTTTATTCTATAGTCTATAAATTTAGAATTTGTGATTCTTTAAATTGGTATTAAAATAAGATTTACTTTAGCAATATGCTTAAAACATTTAACTATAAAGTTTGAATTAGAGTTTATACATTAAAAGCAAGGCTTACATTTAAAGAATATGTTTCCTGGGTAAAGTATACACTTTAATGGAAGTATAATAAATTTGAGACAATTCCTTTAATCATGCATGCAAATTATATGTGTTAATAGTTATTTAATTTTTTTCTAGACTAGAATGTTTAGTTAAAGAACCTACTACCCTGTTTCCCCGAAAATAAGACAGTGTCTTATATTAATTTTTTCTCCCAAAGTTGCGCTAGGACTTATTTTCAGGGGATGACTTATCTTTCCATGTGCTAGGTCTTATTTTCGGAGGATGTCTTATTTTCGAGGAAACACGGTATTATAAATAGCCTTTAAAGACTTTATTTTAAAAACACACAAACAAACCAAAACCCACTTTACTATGAAAGCAATTCTATGAAGAAAGCACCAGTTATCCTTAGTAGTGAAATCTCTAAGCACCAATTCCATTATTTATTTTAGAGATTGGTTGACCACTTACATCCTTTTAAGTTCTAAAATGCTATTAGCCCATATATGTAGTAAAATGGTTAAATACCATTTTAATTCAATTTACTAAGATGTAAGTTTTTAAATTCAATGTACTTTGTACTGTTCATCAAAATTAGTTTAAAAATGCTAGGCACTGCATTTAATCATCTTGAAACAATCTTCATAAAGTAGGATTTTGAGAAAATATTAAATAACCACCATAAACAATAATATTCAAGAATGTGTAAAGATGAAAGTTAAATGCATATACTTTTATATATAAATGATATTTTCTATAAATATATTTCTGAAATTGAAGAGTTTGCAGATAAGATTTTATATATTTTTTAACTTAATATAATTAATTAAAATTCTGGAGGAGGAGCATTTGGTGGTTTAGATAATGTCTAGATAAAATCATTTACTAGTTTACTTAAACTTTTTTAAATTAAAATATGCAATACCATGTCTTTTGACGGAAATATTTCTGAATTTAAAAATAACTAAAATTTCTGAAACATATAAAGAAATGTAAAGCTATTTACCTACAGATACTGCAATTCCTACGTAAACCACCGTAGTGATTAAAATGGCTAAGAGTGTTCCTTTGGGTATGGCTGACTGAGGATCCTAGAAAACAAGAAGATTTTTTTTTAAGTCTACCTTTAAAAATAAATGTATACCTTTTTAAATATATAATCAACATAGTGCTTTTTATTATAAATCAATACAGTACTTACTGCAAGATCACCTGAGATATTTGCTCCAGCCAGAATACCAGTTGCAGCAGGAAAAAAGATGGCAAAGACAGAAAAAAAGGTCTCTTCCTCTCGAAAATCTGGTCCAAAGTTCTCATTAAATATTTCAGCTGTAAAGAACAAAACACTTTTGGTAATTAATAGAAAGGAGATTAAACCATAATAATTTAGGTCAAGAGTAAGTGGCATGTATGATCCCTGACATTTCTTCAGTTCAAGTAACTGTTAAACTCTTAAATATTTCCTAATTCACTTATTTCTTCTTTTCTTATATGAGGGAACAGTGTACACCAAAGTGATGATCTGACCTGGGACATTTCCCACTATTTTGAGTACCTTTATAATCAAGTTTTGAGCAACTCTAACTTGATTGTTATCACTAGTCCAAATGTAAATCAAAGCGTGGATAAATCCCTCAGTCTCAGAGGTCAAAGAAATTAGGAGGAATGAAAACAAAATAACATCATACTAATCTGGAATCTTTTTTTTATTATTATTACATCCAACTTAAATACTATCTGTATATAATATCAATTTCTCTATTTTGTAGTGCTAACTTGTTTGATATTTTAGGCTATTTTTTGGGTCTTCCAGATATTTTTAGTTTACCGTATTTTCCAGCGCATAAGATGACTTTTGAAACGAAAAAAAAGTCAACCGAAAATCGGGGGTCGTCTTATACGCCGAGTATATCCCAAAAAACGTCTCGATATGCCGCTAAATGAATTTTCCAACTCAATCCCGAAAATCGTCTGGATATGCTCGATCCCGCACCAATCACTGCAAGGCTGCTTGGACCGCCTCTCTAACTCAGCCAATCCAAGCAGGCTTTTTATGCATGCAAATTATACATGTTCTGTACCCGAAGCTACACTGTGTTCTAGTAAAAAGCCTGCTCAGATTGGCCAGAGTCAGAGAGGCGGTCTATTAAAAAAATAACTGGTGTTGCCTCAGAAGTGGGGGGTAGTCTTATACAGCGAATATAGGCCTAAACCTATGTTTTAACTGTAAAATTAGGGGGTCGTCTTATATGCCCGGTCATCTTATACGCTGGAAAATACGGTAAGCAAATTAGATAAAGGTTCTTTCCATTTCAACAATAATGAAAGCTTCATCTAATCCTACTGTTTCCATCTATACTGATATGTCCTGACACTAAACCAATTAACAGTCATTTATTTATCCATCCACCCATTCATGAGCATCAATGTGTCAGGTCCTGTACTGAAGCCATCTAGTTACATCATGAAATAGAATAGCAAGAAACTAGACATTGTCCTTACCTTTATGGAACTTAGGAGTCCCAATAGGGAGCTACACAGTAAGTAAAGAAGCAAGTCATTACAATAAGCAGTAAATATACTGATGAAAACAGGATGTTGTGATAAAGAATGAGAGAATCTAATTCAGTGTGGTAACAGAAGGCTAAAGGATGTAACTAAGGAAACAATACTTAAAAAGATACTTTACTGAACAAGAAATCAGCCAGGTGATGATTAGGAAAAAGATTACACCAGGAATAAGAAATGACATGAAGCCCAAAAGTGGGAAAAAGGCTTAGTTCTTTGAGGAATTAAAAGAATGTAAAGCTCTTATAGTAATGTGGAGAATAAAATTAGGTTGGTAAAATCAGTGGGGGTGAGACTGTGCAAAAGTTTAGTTTAGATTTTATCCTAACTATAATGAAAAGCCAAGGTAGGCTTAGAAACATGAAACGACATGATGTTACAAAGGCTTGTGTGGACAACGGACTGACGACATCAACATCTGAAGCAGAAAGACCCGCTAGGAGATTATTCCAATGGTTCAACTTATGAGGAGAAAATAATAGAAGATTATAAAGTAAAGAGGCAGGGAGGGAACATTGAGATTCTGGCTTCTTCCACGCACCGTATTCAGATGTTAAAGTCTGAAAAGGATTAGATAGGAGAGACATCAAATAAGTAGTTATGTATATCCAGAATTTAAAAGAGAAATCCAGGAATAAAAACATGTCAGCCTCTTAACAGCATTTGGAGCCATGAGAACAGACCTAACCGAAGGAAAGAATTCAATTAGAAGGCCCTGGGCCAGACCTATGCAATTGACTTTTAGAGAAGAGGAAGAGGAGAAGGTAAAAAGGAGTGATAGACACAGTGACAGTGTGACATCAAACAAAACTAGAAAAGTTATTCAAGGAGAATGAGACAACTAAATGCAATGCTGCTGAGAAGCAGAGGATAAAATACTGCACACTGGATCTAGCACCGTGTGGACGTCACCTTGACAGACTAAATCAGACAAGGATTTAATGAAGGAAAAAAAACATTTGGTAAAAATTTGATGGGAAGTAGGCTATGCAGCCTCCCAAGTATCCTACAACATATTATTTCTTAATTAAAAGAAGAAAATGGCAATCTCACAATAAAGGAACCTCTCAGATACCACTTTGACTAAGTTATCAAAGTTAAAACCATCACTGATGGGGGGGGGGGAAAGATATTATGTGTCTCCTAATGTGATCTACAACATCATTCATGGTATTTTCCTAGCAAAAAGAACCTGAATCTATGGAAATAAATCAGAAGAACCCACTGGAGTGAGTTCTACAAAACAAATGGCCTGTATTCTTGAGAAATGTCATTATCATGAAAAACAAAGGCTAAGGAGCTGTTTTAGATTCAAGGAGATTGAAAATTATGTAAAGAACCATTAAAAAAAAAGGGGGGGGGGGAGACATGACAACTCAATGCAATACATGATCATGCCTTGGATCCTGGTTCTGGCTGGTGTTGCTCAGTAGTAGAGTGTTGGCCCATACACTGAAGGGTCTCAAGTTTGATTTCTGGTCAAGGGCACATACTTGGGTTGCAGGTTCCATCCCAGCCTGGGTAGGGGCACGTGCAGGAGACAACCAATCAATGTGTCTCTCTCACATCTATGTTTCTCTCCACCTCCTTTCCTCCCTTTTCCTCCCATCCCTCCCACTCTCTCTGAAAATCAGTGGAAAAAATAATCTTGGGTGAGGATTTGCAAAAAAAAAGTAATTTATTCTTTTATTATTATTTTTTTTTTTTTTAGTGAATTGGATTGTGGAAGAGTAAAAAAAAATAAAATAAAAGCTACTCTAAAGATTTTTATAGAAAGAATTGGAAAATTTTGTATTCAAACCATATATTAGATGTTAGCATTGTGCCAAAGTTCAACTTCTTGAATTGTCCTTTTCCTTAGAAGATACATGCTTAAATACAATGTTTAGAGGTAAGTCATGATTTCTGCAACTTTTCTTAAAAGTTTTAGCCATCAGCCGAAACCGGTTTGGCTCAGTGGTAGAGCGTTGGTCTGCGGACTGAAAGGTCCTGGGTTCGATTCCAGTCAGGGGCATGTACCTTGGTTGCGGGCACATCCCCGGTATGGGGTGTGCAGGAGGCAGCTGGTCGATGTTTCTCTCTCATCGACGTTTCTAGCTCTCTATCCCTCTCCCTTCCTCTCTGTAAAATATCAATAAAATATATTTTTAAAAAAAGTTTTAGCCATCATAATAATAAGTAATAGTAAGTAGATACATATGAAATAATAAAAAAAAAGTGTGGCAAAAAGACAGGATATAAAATCATTCATCATTAGTGAATCTATAATAGGTGAAGCAAGCATATAAAGAATTTATTGTCAATTTTCCAAGTTCTCTGTAAGTTTGACATTATCCTGAAATAAGAAATAAGTGAGAATGTATGGGTGTGAGAAGTTTATCTATGAAAGAGAATTGGGAAATGAGGTGGTAACTGGAGAAGAATAAAAGACAAGTCATAGCATTTCAAGGATGAGAATTACTAGAACAACTTCATAAGCTTATATAGAGGTGAGAATTTTGATACAAGGAAGTGAGAGTCAATTATGAAAGGATATATGCCTTTGAGAAAGTAAAATAGGATCCAGAATAGAGCAGAGTCACTGGAGATACTTCTCATGTTAGAAAGAAAAAAAGAAAAATGAATCCTCCTATTAGGTAGTCATTTGAACTGACAAGTTTAACAACATAACCTGTTTACTGCCAACACCACTTTAGTATACTAAAAAAGAAAAGTCACATTAAAGTCACATAAAAGTCTCCTCTTATTATACAAAAAAGCCACATAAAACTCTCCTCTTATTATACAAAAAAGAAGTCACATTCCAAAGTATATTTAGATTTATTTATCTCAGACTGAAATAAGCCCAGATGTGCTATTTAAACATAATATAAATTATTTGTTTATTCTAGCTAACTATATGATACTTTTATAAGTGGCCAAATTTCTGGGGAATAAAAAGGACATGAAAAATGTGGACCAGAAAATACATTTAAAGCAATTAAAGTCATAAACAAATACATTAATTATTAGGAATGTTTTAAGTAATCATTCATTATAACTTTTAATATTTCCTTTAGAAATAAGAGTGACAAAAACTAATGTACAGAAACATGTATAATATTTAAAAAAAGTAAAAGTAATTTGTAATTAGGTAATTTATGAAAACACAAAGTACAGAAAATTACCCTACCTACCTAATGTTACAAACTTTTACTCCTGGAATGCTTAGTAGACACCTCTTCCCCCAATCCAGGAAATTAGGAATTTAAAGCCCAGTTTAGAAGGTGGTAAGAGCACTAATAGTCAGAACAAAAATCACACTATCAACCCAGGACTAGTAGGCACAAATAACAGACAAGGTCCTTGGTTAAGGTAAGTACCTTGAAACAACTCATATCAGAAAAATGCTCAGCCAATTAAGCCAGAGTCTGATACAGAACAAACCAGTTTTATTCACATACTGGAGGCCCAGTGCATGAAAATACATGCAATGAGGGGTAAGGGGGGGTTCCTCAGCCAGGCCTACCCCCTCTCACAGTCCAAAAGCCTTCAGGGGCAGGAGGTGACACCCCCATCACACCTCTGCTATCGCCACTGCCCGCAGTGCAAGCCTCGGGCGGCCCTGGACGGCTGGGCAGCAGCCATCTGAGGCTTGCCTAAACTTTGGGTTGGTTCTGAGCAGCTGGGGGGCTGAGGGAACTGGGGGACTCTGGAAGCAGGCAGGCCTGGCCATGCCCCGCGCCTGCCGCCCCGGTGGGGCTGAGGAGACTGGGCACCGTGATCTTTGAGGGCGTAGCAATTAGCATATTTCCTCCTCATTGGCTGTGGGTGCCACCATCTTTGTGAGGGCGTGATGATCAATTAGCATATCCACCTCTTTATTAGATAGGATGATCCAAGGACTATTTGTTGTTACCAGTCAGCAATAAGATTCAGGAGAGTCTGGCCTTTTCCTCTAGGGCTTTGTCAACTGCAGGCAGACAGACCTGTCACCTTAAGTAATAAACCTCTCTGATGCTATTGCAACTATTCTTTCACACCTTTATTTTATTTTGTACAGATAGGTTCAGAATTGCTCATTTAAATGGAGGAAGATAGGGACTGTGGTAGGGAGGAAGGATGGGGGCTGGGAGATACAGACAGACCTTTTAGGAAACAATAACAAATAAATTTCACCAGTAGTGACAATTAGATGTTGAATGAAAAGGGTTACAGGAGACAAAAACTGAAAAATTCTCACACATTTAATAATGCAGCCCAGACAGTATGGCTCAGTGGTTGAGCATTGACCTATGAACCAGGGGGTCACAGTTTGATTCCTGGTCAGGGCACATGCCCAGATTGCAGGCTTGATCCCCAGTGTGGGATGTGCAGGAGGCAGTTGATCAATGATTCTCTCTCATCATTGATGTTTCTATCTCTCTCCCCCTCTCTTTTCTTCTCTGAAATCAATAAAAATATATTTTAAAATAATACAAAAACTTAAAAACTGCAATTACACAGAAACTAATATTTCTAGTTACTTTCAGTCTCAGACATTTTTTGACTGTTGTGTTAAATGAAAAAGTCAACATCAGAACAAAAGTTATCTTTCACTTGCAAATTCCTAAAATTAGTAAGGAAGCAACTTTTTTCAGTAGCATTGTTTGTTTTTTTGTTTGTTTTTTTTTCACATTCTATTACCTTTTGTTGCTAATAATGAAAAGGAAAGACACAAATAAAAATGATTTTTAACTCCAACTATAACATAAAGTATACAAAACTATACTGAATTGCCAGTAAGTCACCATACCAAACTCAATTACATTACAAATATCTAAAATGTACTAAATTTACTTACTAATAGAATGATATAATATACACTTTTAAAAATATTTTAGCTTTTTTACTTACATTTATAACCAAAGAAACCTTTGGGTTTCTTGCTCTCCAATGGGATAAATGTTCCTATGATGAAATCAGCAATAGCAAGTAGGAGAATCACCAAAAGAACAATCTGAGCCTGAAATTTTAAACATTAAAAATAAAATAAAATATCTTATGTTGTTCATTCAGTTCCACTAGAATACAACTTCCATGGGGGAAAGGATTTCTGTCTTGTTTCCTTGGAGCATCAAACAATGCCAAGCACAGGGTAGGCACTCCATTAAAAAAAAAAAAAAAGGCAAAAGTATAATGATGCCATATATTTTGAAATGAATTAATGACACACATGCTTTCCCACAAATCATAAAACACTATACATTCCAAAACACCGTAGGCTTTTCATTCTGTGCATCATTCATTCCTGTCCCCTCCACCATACAGTACAATATATTTGTTAAAAACCCAGGTTTTATACCAAGTTCAAACACAGTGTTGAATGTGTGACAGCTACATGAAAATAAGGGAAAATATAAAAAGAAGACAACACCCGGGAGGGAAATTCAAGTAGAAGTGAGACTGGAAGAAAGAATAATCCATGCAAACTACCATCTCTCCTCTTTCACTTTTTTGTTTTGTTTTATAGGATATAAGATACATAACAAATATATAACAATATATTAGTTTCAGGAGTATAACATAATGATCTGATATTTTTATATATTGCAAAATGATCACTATAATAAGTTTCATCACTATATCAATTTCTTTTGGTGATGAGATCTTTTAAGATATACTCTTTTTAACAACTGTCAAATATACAATACAGTGTTATTTATTAACTACTGTCATCATGGCTGAACATCACATTTATGACTTATTTATTTTCCACTGCAAATCTGTACCTTTTGACCCCTTTACCCATTTTGCCCACTTCACCTCTCCTCCTCCTCTCAATAAAACTGGGCAGATACTCATGAAAAACTGTGTCATCTGTGAGAATAAGGACCACTTATATTTGTTGGATGAAATTCTTTTTAGTAAAGTCAATTTGTTAAATCTATAAGTAAATGATTTAATTTTATAGTAACAACTTATCTACCATAGAAAAATATTCTTTCAGACTTTGCTAATTTTGATCTGATAAATATTATCATAGCTCACATACAATACAAATACGTGATTTTATACAAGCTATAAACACAAAGAAACCTGAAGTGACTTTGAGTTGCTCAGTAGCATTTTTGTAGAAATGCATTATTCAAGAAACAAGAGCAATACTATGCCATATTCCCTCTGAGATACAGAAATATATGGACTTGGGTGCTCTGCATATATATTAACATGTGCATTCAGCAATTTTCCCCCAATACAATGATACCTGTTTGGGTAGTCATGATTTCTGACATTCCAAAAGCTAGGAGCAAGATTAGCATCTCTAACCTCTAATGGCACTAACCTGAAGTTTATTGCCCCTACGTTTATTTTTGAAATTTAAATAAATTACAAAGCCAGCAGTTTAATTTGGGCTACATAACTCACCTAAGCATCTATATATAATGTAAGTCATAGAATAGGGGCTGGAGGTGCTGAAACCAGTTTAGCTCAGTGGTAGAGCGTCGGTCTGCGGACTGAAGGGTCCCAGGTTCGATTCTGGTGAAGGGCATGTACATTGGTTGCGGGCACATCCCTGGTAGGGGATGTGCAGGAGGCAGCTGGTCGATGTTTCTCTCTCATCGATGTTTCTAGCTCTCTATCCCTCTCCTTTCCTCTCTGTGAAAAAATCAATAAAATATATTGGAAAAAAAAAAAAAAGAATAGGGGCTGGAGCGGAGGTAGGAAGTAAAACGCTGTATTTAACTAGATCCTAGACTAATGGCTATCTTCAAATATCCCATCTTGTCAATTAGAAAATAACCCTATACATAAATTTCCCTGAAAAAGGCCACTTAGGAACTTTTAAAATCTAAAAATCTTACCACATTTTATTGCATTTTTAAAATAAGAGCTATAAAAGTTCATATATTAAATATTTACTGATATTCCAGTAATATCATGACTTACTTTTGCTTCCCACTCCATTCCAGCTACTGAGATACCTAAAAGGATCACCACAGTAATGGCTCCAATAATTCGGATATCATTGAGTTCATCTATCATAAGAATAGAATGTTCCTAGAAAAAGAAAGTTATAAATAAGCAGTATTAGTTTTTAGATAGTCCTTATTTTGAAACATTTTAGAGATATCATAGTGCCTTACATGTAGAAGATGAATAAATACCTACTTAACAAATGAATAGGAATCCAATGAAAAAAAAATATTTACTATTGATGTCATTCAAGTATATGATATCAATAATATGGTCAAATTAATAATGCTATATTTAATCAGATGTGATAAATCAAAAAGGGAATTGCTGACAAGTAAATAAAAATCATATAACTAACTAGTTCTAATAGGATGTTCTTAAGTTACATAGCAGAAATATTTTGCATTCATTTTGATTAGTGAAGTCATGCTTTAGTCTTTTAGTTTGCATAAAAGGTGGTGAATATACCTTCATACAGTAGTCCAAAATACACTGTCCCTATTCTATAAGCAAAAAGTATTTGTGGTTGAGTATCAATGAAATTAGTGTACTAAATTAAACAATGAAAGAACATGAACTCTTATTGATTATATTGCTTGCTTGCTTACAGCCCCACCTTTCACTCATCCTTTTAGCCTACATGGATAAGGGCAATGCCAATGTAAATGTCAGTGTTTTCAAATTTTACATGTTACAATGTACCACATACTACTGCAGAAAAGTTACAATAGCCTGACATGAACAACTATATCAGTTGAGGTTCCTATTATTTAACAATAGTGAATCCTATTTCTCTTCTACTGCTTTCAATCAACACATCCTAATGATCTTTCCAGACAAGTTCTCTTCTAAATTTCAGAACAGTATATCAACTACTTTCTGGCCAGCTTTACTTAGATACACCTTTGGTTCCTCAAATTAGACACCTAAAACTAAATTGTCCTATGCTCTCTAACTCAAGTGAATGGCATTACATTCTACTTAAATCCTCAACTCAGAAATTTGTGTATAAACTTTAAATCCTTCTTTCTCTATAATCTCTCTCATCCCATTAATCATCAATTGACTTATTCAACATTATTTAAATCTGTCAAATTCATCTACACTCCCCAGCCCCATTCATCATTGTTTTAATATAAGCCACATCTCTTCTCCTAGGAAAACTACAGCAACCTTTTAAATGGTCTCAGTGTCCCGTTGTGATCACTCAATCCAATTTCTACCCCATGATCAGATATTTATTTAGGTCACATCATGATAATCTGATCAAGTCATGGTCTCCCAGTCCAATCTAGATAAGCTCTATTTTAATAGCAAACAAGACCCTTCCTGACTTGATACTTTTTCCTTTCTCTAGTCTTAAATCTCTTGCCACTTTGTACTCCAGTCATACAGAAATATAATGTGTGTGTTTTTAACCCACCATACTCTACCCTTCCAGGTCTGTTTCCTTTTCTTCACTGTTCACCCCATTCCACATGCCCCCTCTCCTATCTGCCTGCTGAAGCCTAGGCTCCCCTCCTTGACACTCTTCTGTCGTCCCATTTCTGGATGGTAAGTCAAGTGATCCTCCTTTATGCTGCCAAGGTCTCTCCAGTTACCCACTTCTGACATTCTATGATTTTCCTCTTTTTCTGCCTCACACAATGAACTTAAAGGATGAGTTTGGTGTTCATCACTGCTTTCCTAGCATCTAATATGGAGAGTGGCACATAAGTCCTCAATAAAGATTTGGGAAACAAGTGATTAGAAGAAAGGTGAATTACCTTAAGCAACTCCACCACAGTTTCTGCAAATCCAACCACATACATAGCAACTGCAACAGCATTGGCAAAAGCGAATATCAAGCCAATTGCACCACCAAATTCTGGCCCTAGACTTCTAGATATTAAATAATATGCTCCTCCTAAAGAAAAGGAGAAAAAAGAATAGTGCCAAAGTTAGTATTTTAAATGTCCTCCTCCAGTGAGGGGCGGGGGAAGGGGCGAGTACAGCTAGAAGGATTCAGTGGGGGAGGGGGCGGGCGAGGGGGACAGACATCTGTAATAAGATGAAAAAAATTGTCCTCCTCTATAATCAGCTGAAAGCCTGAAAAGAACAGAGACAGACATTCCCCAAGGAAGAAGGAATTCTGCAGCAGATAATCTTCAGACTTGGAACTACACCATCAGCTCTTCTCTGACCTACAGACTGCAAACCCACTCTGCAGGTTTTGGACTTCCCAGCCTCTATAATCATGGGAATTACTTCCTTCAAATAAATCTTCACACACACACACACACACACACACACACACACACACACACACACAGTTCTGTTTCTCTGAAGAATGCTAACAGACACGTTACAAGGTAAATATATAAAAATCCACCATTTTCCAATGTACTAGCAATGAACAATTAGAAACTGAAATTTTAAAAAGTAACCTACCTACAGTAGTACTTAAACACAGGAAATACGTAAGTCTAAATCTAAAAAATAATTGCAAGATCTCTGTACTGACAACTTAAACCCAAAGAAAAACTAAATGGAGACACCATGATTATGGAGTGGAAGACAGAGTTAAGATGTTTATTCTCTCCAAATTGATCTCCAGATTCAACACAATTCCTATCAAAATTCCACACAGAAATAGGCAAGGTAATTCTAAAATTTTTAATGAAATGGTAGAACAGCCAAAACAGTTTTGGAAAAATAACAGTTGGAAGACTCATGCAATTGTCTCAAGAATTATTATAAAGCTACAATACCATAATAGCATGATATCTATAGATAATGGACCAGCATAGATTCCAGAAATAGAATCACAAATGTAGGGTCAATTAATCTCCCCCAGCTTTAATAAATAATTGACATATAACATTGTTTAAGATGTACATTTGATATGCGTAAACACTGCAAAATGTTTACCAAAACACTGCAAAATGTTTACCAAAATGTTAACATTATCCTTCACACAATTACCTTTTTTTTATTATTGTTAAAACATTTAAGGTTTACTCTTAACAACTTTCAAGTATACAACAGTATTGTTTACTATAGTCTCTATACTTCTATAGATTCCCAGAATTTATTTTTCTTATAAATCAAAGTCTGAACACTTCGACCAACATCTTATCATTTCTCTTATCCCATAGTCCTGAAAACTACTTCTGTACTGTTTCTATGATTTCACTTTTTTTTGGATTCTACATCTAAATAAGATTATACAGTATTTGTATTTCTCTGACTTATTTCACTTAGCATAATACTCTCCAGTTTCATCCATGCTGTTGCAAATGGCAAAATCTTCTTTTTGATGGCAGAATAGTTCTCAAGTGTGTGAGTGTACATATATCACATTTTCGTCATCCATCCATGAACACTTAGGTTGTTTCGTTGTTTCCATGTCTTGCCTATTATGAATAATGCTGCAATGAATATAGACGTGCAAACATCTCAACCAAATAATAATTTTATTTCCTTCTAATAAATATCCAGAAGTGGGATTGATAGATCATATGATAGTTGTTTTTTTGAGGTACCTCCATACTGTTTTCCATTGTGGCTGTACCAATTTACATTCCCAACAATGCAGAAGGGTTCTGTTTTCCCCACATCATCACCAGCTTTTATTATCTAGATTATCTAGTATTGCTTATAATTGCCACTCTAATTCATTGTGGTTTTGATTTCCATCCCTCTGATGATTAGTTGTATTGAACACCTTTTCATTAACTTGCCGTCTTCTTTGGAAAAATGTCTATTCAAGTGTTCTGTCAGATTGGCTTTTTAATCAGATTGGTTATTTTTTTGTTATTGAGTTATATGAACCCTTATCTATTTTGGATATTAGCCCTTTATCAGATAAATAATTTGCAATTATTTTTCCCCATTTTTTAGTTGTCATTTCATTTTGTTTCTTTTGCTGCGCCAAAGCTTTTTAGTTTGATGTAGTTCCATTTGTTAATTTTTGCTGTGTGTGTGTGTGTGTGTGTGTGTGTGTGTGTGTGTTTTCTTTAATCCTCACCCGAGGATATTTTTCATTGATCTTAAGAGAGAGGGAAAGAGAGAGAAATATCCGATGTGAAAAAAACACATTGACGCTTTTTGCTTTTTTTGCTTTTTAAAATATATTTTATTGATTTTTCACAGAGAGGAAGAGAGAGGGATAGAGAGTTAGAAACATCGATGAGAGAGAAACATCAACCAGCTGCTTCTTGCACACCCCCCCACTGGGGATGTGCCTGCAACCAAGGTACACGCCCTTGACTAGAATCGAACCCGGGACCTTTCAGTCCGCAGGCCGACGCTCTATCCACTGAGCCAAACCGGTCCCGGCTCATTGTTGATGTCATATCCAAAAATAAAAAAATAAAATTTCACTGTCAACACTCCTGGCAAGGAGCTTTTTCCTTTTTTTTTTTAATTATTTATTTATTTTTATTTTTTTTTCCTGGGAATTTTACAGTTTCAGGGCTTACATTTAAGTCCTTAATACTCGTTGAGCTAATTTTTATGAATGGTGTAAGAAAAGAGTCCATTTTAATTCTTTCACCTGTGAATATTCAATTTTCCCAATATCTAGCTTTGTTCTTTCTCAAGATTGCTTTTACTATTCAGGGTCTTTTGTGGTTCCATATTAATTTTAATATACATTTTTCTATTTCTGTGAAAAATGTCATTGAAATTTTGATAGGAATTTCACTCAATCTATAGATGGCTTTGGATAACTAGGGTCAATTAACTTTTTACTAAAGTACTTAAGCAATGAAATAGAAGAGATAATCTTTTAACAAATTGTGCTAAAGTAACTGGATATTCAATTGACTCTTGATGTTCTTGATTTCTATTTTGTACCATATATAAACATTAACTAAAAATGATAAGAGATATACCTGAAAACCTAAAGTTATAAAACTTCTAGAAGAAAATCTTTGGGATCTTTGATGAGGCAGGATTTCTTATATACCACACCAAAAGCATAATCCAATAAAGAAATAAGTGATAAATTAGATGTAATCAAAACTAAGACTGCTTGCCCTAGTCACTTTGGCTCAGTAGATAAAGTCCAAGGACTGAAGGGTCACAGGTTCAATTCCCATCAAGGGCACATACCTCATAGCAGGCTCAATCCTGGCCTTAGTCAGGGTTCATGTGGGAGGCAACCAAATCGATCTCTCTCACAATGATGTATCTCTCTCTCTCCCTCCCTTCCACTCTCTCTAAAAAAAAAAAAAAATCAATGGAAAAATACCCTCAGTTGAGAATTAACAACAATAACAAAAAGCTAAGACTACTCTTCGAATAACACCTTTAAGAGAATGAAAATACCGGAATTTACATTTTCATTTTATAAAAAGCTGTGGTTGTCCCCTACTTCATAATTGAATGAGTCCAAATCACAGACTAAGGACGGGAGACCTCTGCTCTGTGAATCTAGGAAATGCTGGCCTGAGTGAAGGTGGTTGCTGGCCAGGATCGCCTACGTCACAGAACCTGCTGCCATAGCTCAAGTAAATTCTGTCAAATCCAAACTCTTAAGACTGACAAGATCTGCAGAACAGGAAAGAGCTCTGGGCTCCCATCCAGCTGCAACTATCTGTAGAACATAACTGTCTGCTAAGGCAGGGCTGTGCCAGAGTTGAAGGTAAGGTGTGATACTGTTCTTACTCTGTGGAGACAGAGAACTGAGGGGATGATTCATTAATCTGCTGCCAGTAACTTTAAGCAGTACCCTCGAAAAATCATCACTAAAATCTAATCAAGCCTGAAATCTTTAAGAATTTTACTTTCTAAGTTTTGACTTTTTCTTTTCAGAAACACTGAATGTTTCCATATCATTTTTATCCTTGGCTTCATAATTGAACATTATTAAATGTTTACAAGCAGTTCATTTTTTTAAAAATGACTTACGCTGCCAATACAAGGAAATAAAAGGTTCCTAGCACTTTCTGTCTGGGTAATCAACCTACACTTTTCTAGATTGGTATCTGTTTAATCTCTAAAAGATGTTGATAAAGCCAATTTAAGGTTACTTAATAATATCAAATGTCTCCTGTGGCAAAAAGGACATAACATTAGGAAAAGTACACATTTCACAAGACTGGAAACACATACCTTACAAAACAAGAATAAAATATTATTCAATATAAAATATAGATAAATGTCATAACTTAAGAATCAAGATAAATAAAAATAAATTATCAAGTACTACCTCAATAGTTCTATTAATAACTACACAAGTTTAAAAAGGAACTCTTCCAATAGAAATTACTAAACATAACAACTGCGACCTTTAAGCAAAATTTTAAATATTTCTCTATTAATTCCCTTATAACAACTTTAAGTTCATAGGAAATTAAGATGGGTCTCAGTAAACCAAAATAAATCCTGTTAGGGGTCTCTAGACATCATTATTCCCAAAGAATCCCTCCATTTCTCCTATCTAAGCCTTTGGCACCTTGATCCTCTGCACAGTTCTATTACTCTCTCTCTCCCTGTGCAGACCTTTCAATAACGAATTGGTCCAAATCAAGCCCTCAGTGGCTGAGCTAGAAGAGTTCCAATCCAGCACTTTGGTCCTATCCTACTAAAACATAAAATGGTTTACTGTTAAGAACAAAAACAAAATCACACTCAAAGTTTGTTATCAAACTCCCTCTCTCTTTTGCTCCTTGGAAAAATGTGAATTAAAATTTCTTGTTCCAGGGAGATTGCCAGTGTGGAATTTGCTGTTATTGTCCTATAGAGTGAGTGAGTGAGTGAGTGAGTGAGTGAGTGAGTGAGTGACTAAGTGTGTGTGTGTGTGTGTGTGTGTGTGTGTGTGTGTGTGTGTGTAGTGTAATATGCAAATAGACCGGATGGCAGTCGATATGACACTCAGTGACTACCAGGGGGCAGACGCTTAACGCATGAGTTACTCCCATGCGTTAGGTCCCTCCCCTTGGCCAGTAGGCTCCAATCGCCCAATGGTGGAACAGGGAACTGGGTGGGTGGTGGCAGATATGGGCTGCACTAGGACAAGGCAGGTGCAAATGAGCAGGGCCCTGATCACCCCACTGGTCACTCCACACACACAGGGTGACCGGTGGCAGCAGGCAGAGCCAGCCAGCAGGCAGAAACGGTCCCTCCCCTCAGCCAGCAGGCTCTGATCACCCAATAGGGAAATGGGAACTGGGGAGTGGGTGGCAGGTCGGATGCGAGCAAGTGGGGCCCAGATCGCCACGCCCATTGCCCCACGGGTGGCGGGGGGCAGGGCTGGCAAGCAGGTGGGAATGGCCAACCTCTCCATCCTTCTCCCTGGCCAGCAGGCTCCGATTGCCCTGGCCAGCAGGCTTCGATTGCCCGACAGGGAATGGGGAAGGGGGATAACTATGGGGAATAGAGCTGGCTTCTGGCTGCCGGGGAAGATCAGCACTGATCCCAGGCCAGACCTAGGGTCCCTACCCATGCACAAATTTAATGTGCTGGGCCTCTAGTCATTTAATAAATCCCTTGCTCCCCTGCATGCATATTCTACAAAATGATTCCTGAAGCTATAGGCATGATCATTTCGGATTCAATTTGTTAGGAAACAATACTTTATAGGTACTCCTACCAAGTAAAGGGTTTACAAAGTTGGAATCTTCTAATTCTCTTTCCTTCTTCACTTATGTAAATTATATAAAGAAAAAAATCATTTATTTATTGGTTACACTGAGCTCAGACAAAGAAACTTTCATTTATGAAAGCTTTGTTCGACATCTTTATCAATTTCATAGCATTCTTCAAAGGTGAAAAATAGGATTTTTTTGTTGTATCTGTGATCTCATGGATTTTAGATATTCTCATCCAAATCAGTTATTAGTAGTAGTAGTATTGCTGTTCAAACTAAAAAAACTTCAGTCATTATTAGTTTTTTCAAGCTGGGTCCTTATAGCGTGAAATTGGTAGTTTTTGTTACCTTCTTTACTTTCCGATGTGAATGATGTCTAGACTCCTCTAGTGCATTTCCTGCCCAGATCTGCAACCGTTCCCTTTAATAGAAATACACAATGTGGGCACTGGGGGTGCTCCTTGCTACTGGTTTGATTGTTTGTTACAGGTAATTTTTGTGAACAAAGCTAAGAAACATGTCCTTTCTCGATAAAATCTATGAGTCATACTGACTTGATACTTTCAACTTAGAATTATGAGTTCAGGATGCAATGTAATTTCATCAGTTTTATGCCTGTATTTACTTTCTTCCATGTGGAAAGTATGGTTTTCTCAGGAAGCCAGTAAATCCTGTTAGAGTTCTCCAAGTGCATAAAGCCGAGAAAACAGAAGGGGCTTATATTCATTGAAGGAATCTTCAGGCAACATTTAATATAGATGAGGCAGCTCATTTATATTCTGTAAAGGACCAGCCAGGTGTCCAGTCAACAACTGGCAAGTGAAAAATGAATACCGTCTAGCATAGCTTCCAAATACTTGGTTATTTCTTTAAATTAATGCCTTTCCCCTTTTTCCTTTATTGGTTTCATTATTTCAACAAGTGTATTTACTTTCTCATTTGTATGAATATCTGAAAACAGAAGAATTCTGAATTGTATGATCCAATGGGTTTTTCCCTATAATTTCTTCCTTAGCTGGTTCCATCATTTTGAGGGATCGCAGGCAAAACTGCAACATATAAGTTGTTGGGACACACTCCATGTTCTCAGACTTCCTTAGTATTCCAGGACAGAGGACTAGACAGTCTCTGAGATATATTTGTGAATATATATAAAAACTTTTGGTAGTATTGAAAGGTGAAATGGATTTTTAGTCAGAATGCAAGAAAATCAATACTTCCCATAAATTTGGATTCATGTGGAAAATTGTTCAGGGTTCATGCTGACAGTGGCTTCATGTCCCATTCCCCTTGAGGCTCACAACCTAGATTTGAAGAGCTAACAGAGAAATTCTTTGATGATTTCTGATTCCCTCAAATAGCTAATACCCCATTCCTTTTGTCCTTCCACTTAAAAACAGGGCATCCAGTACATAAGCCAAAAGGCAACCTCCAGTATTACCTGATAACTCTTTGGATATATACACATCTTACACTCCACTGTCACTCAATCCAGACTCATGTACATATGAAACTTCAGCAAATAGTGATGCATGTTCAGCATAGTCATAATCATATTGATGTGAGCTACCAGCTTCCCTAAGGACCACAGTGATTTGAACCTCTGGTAAGTAAGAAATATGAAGCTAACAGGGGACAATGAAACACTCAATCTGCGTATCTCTCTCAAAAAAATAAATTAAAAAAATCAAATACAGATAAATCAGAAATTATGTGTATATAATGTCCAATACAGATATGAAAAATAGTGGAGGCAGATGGAACGGGTTGATCTTTTTCTCAGGTGACCTGCTATGATGATTTTACAGAAGCTGGTACCTATTTCTTTTTCCATTCTATAGCTGGATGATGAGCTTTGTTTGAAAAATGGAGTTTTTTCTTCTTGCTCATAGGGATTCCATGGCCACTCTCCTGGTCTTCTGGATGCTCTTCCCAGGGGGGGTAAAATCTTACTAGGCAGATCTTGTGAATTCCAATGAAAGAGACCTCAGGAACCTCAGAGTACAGTTAGAGTTGAGGATGTGAATTCAGGGTCACACATATAACTCACTAAAGTTGTTAGATAATGGGGAAAGAACTGTGCCATTTCCTTCAATGAGAAGGAATGAGGTTATAATTGCACAATATGGACCAAATGCAAGACGATCCTTTAGCTCTACTGATCAAGGGCCTAAGAGGAGCAACAACGGGCAGCCCTGTGGAGAAGAAACCCACCTAGAAACTCCATTCCTGCTGCCAATAAACCCAGCACCCTAAAAACTAAAAGCATACATGTTGGGTCAATATAAAATTTTATATTCAAACATACTAGTTTGAAAGTGCTTAGTAGCAACTTTCTTGTCTATATAGACCAATATGCTGCTTTTTAAAGGTAAAAAAAAAAAAAAAAAAGATTTAAATCTAATTTTTTTTCTAGTAACAGTAATCTGATGACAATAATGTGAAAAGACTGAATTTACCTCCTCGTACAAATCCATTAGTAGCTATTGCTGAAGTAGACAATCCTGTGATAGTTGTCACAACAGTGGCCATCATTATTACAAGGACCGACAGACCTTTAGAGAAGAAGAAAAGGGACTGAGAAAACTTACATCTTATTTAACCCTGCCATACTTAGAAATGATTAGTCCAGTTATACGGAACTTCTTAATAATTACCTTATTTTTATCCCATTTTTGAGAAATCAAATGAGAATTATTAAAAAGGAACATTAAAACAATAATCTTATATAAAGGAGAACAAAGCTTAGAATGATTTCAGCTGCTTGTATTTTATGAAGTTTAGAGCCTAGACCCACACACAGCTACTTTTGTTTATTCATTCTCAAATGAAACAAGAAATATGTAACTTCACTTACCTATTCCAGCTTGACCTACAATCCATGATAATCTAATGAAGAGCATCACACCCCAAATGTTTAACATACATCGTACCTAGGAAAGGAAAAAAGGCCAATTCACTGATGAAAAAAAGTGATCAAGTATATAATACAGCAATCAATGCTAAACTAGCCATTTAAGACGTAGAAAGTCATTTTAAGAGTTTTTTTTTTAAAAAAAGAGCTTAATGAGAACTTAAATGTGAGCTAATGTAAGTGTAATATGTGACTGTGTATTAACCTATATATACACATACCCATCACAATTATCGGAAGCAGCAGAGGCAACCGAAGTAGGTAGCTATCATTTAAAAAAAAAAAAAAAAAAAAAAAGTAAAAAGTAGTTCATGCTCCTCTCTATCAATCCACGTAGGCTTAATTTTTTGTTTGTTTTATAACATCCTCATTTCATGATTTCTACAGATTTGTTTTATATTTTTATCAACACAAAATGCCAATTGCTCACATATCTTTCAAGAATTTAACTATAAGACAGTTTACTTTTACTTTGTTTATTATGTTCCTTCATAGAACATAGCCTTCTAAAATATTAAAATCTAAGAATAGGCAAACTAAATATTTGAACCTTAACATTTACTCTATTAGCTAGGCAATAAAATTACTACCAGAACTGGGATTTCCCTCTACCTCTCCCCTAAGTTCAATACAATTGCAAGTGCCTTCAAAGTCCCAATGAGCTTATTTTAGCTTATCTACTCTAATCAGATCCTTAGTGGCTTTTCAAACATAGAAAAACAGAATTAAATCTAAACCTTAGCCATAACCAGTTTGGCTCAGTAGATATAGCGTTGGCCTGCGGACTGAAGGGTCCCAGGTTCGATTCTGGTCAAGGGCATGTACCTTGATTGCGAGCACATCCCTAGTAGAGGGTTGTGCAGGAGGCAGCTGATCAATGTTTCCCTCTCATTGATGTTCGTACTCCCTTCTATCCTACTCCCTTCCTCTCTGTAAAATAAATAAATAAATAAATAAATAAATAAATAAATAAATAAATAAATAAATTTTAAAATATAATAAACCTTAAATGCTGTCTACTGAAGTGACCCCAACACTTAAGAAAAGGATTTTCCTTTTATTATGCTCCCTATAACTTCTACACATTTCTCATCAAAAGGTGATGGGGGGATGATTTATTGATTACTACTTTAATCAATAAAGAAATTAAAATGCAAAAAAAAAAAAAAACGTCATGGGGGTAGCAGAAAAGGAAACAGGCATATTTTAGCTGTTTCCTGTTCAGCTTGCTTGATTGCGATGTTCCTGTCACATGTACTGAAAGGTGACAATATGTGAAATTTGCAAGAGGCAATATAATATAGTTTAGAGGTAATCAAGTATACCTCTAAATTAAAAATATTAAAAAATATTTATTTTACTGAATTTAATATGCACAAGGAAAGGAAGTACAAGTTATTAACTTTATCTTCTGTAATACTCAAAAAAAAAAAGTTCAACGATTGATGAGAATATTAGGAAGATTTTATAAATAATAGAAATGTTATAACTCTAAAATTAAGTCTATATGTACATACTAATACACCCTTGATCCAGCCAAACTTCACAACTCCTTTACTCTCCGCAGCATATGTAACCACAGCATCTCTTGTTGGAGTACTTTCTTCCCCGTTTGCAAAGCCATCCTCAAAAGGTTCCTGATTATAAAAGGAAAAATGTGAATTATGCTTAAGAATTATTTAAAATCACCTGATAAAAACAAACATCACTAAATACACTTAACCATATTTAGAAGGACATAGTACAGATTCCCAAGGACCAAGGTTTTCCGAATATCTTACCTGAGGAAAATGTAAAGCAAGAAAGCAAAAGAAGCCTTAATTATTGAGTTTTGAAATATTTAAATCTTATGACAGTAAACCCATTTAATCATTTCCAATTTTAGTTAACACTTTTGCAATGTCTGGACAACACAGTGAATACTGTTTGTTAAGTACAGGTTAGCTAGGTGAATCAATTCAAAACTTGTCTCTCGAACCACAAATACACACTGCCTAATTGGCATCTTTACCACATTTGAAATTTCAGCTGTAACAATTTTTTCCTGACCAGGGTGTCTCAGTTGAAGTGTTGTCCTGTACATTAAAAGGTAGTGGGTTCAATTCCTGGTCAGGGCACATACTCAGGTTGCAGGCTCTATCCCCAATGGATATTTCTCTCTCCTTTCCTATCTCTAAAATCAATTATAAAAAAATTTATAACTCCTCTTCATCACCAATGAACAATTTTCTCTTTATAATCTATGATAGCAGAATTACAAGGATCCCAGCATTCACTCACAACTCCTGTTACTCCTTGTCTGCACTCAGTCACTTCGGTTCTCTTCACTTTTTCCTTTGTAATTTGTCTCACATTCATACATGAGCTAGTTATATGTGCATTTCCACGAACAGTGTTCCCTTCTTAGATTTTTATATTTCATATATAATTCTATAATTCTTAAGTTTTTTTTTGTCCTCTATTTTATTTTCTCTTTCCCTCTGTTCTTTGTTCTCAACTTTTGTTCAGTCCCAATACACCCAAGTCATGACAAATTTCCAAACCAGTAACAATGCTTTAAATAGGGTAGAAGGAGATGTTGAGAGAGAGAAAATGTTCTAAATCTAGAGTCATGTCCCTAACACTATCCCCATAGTTCTTCCTCTACCCATATTCTTAACAGCAGGGAACAAAAGCAGCTATATTCAAGCATCATTCTTTAAATACAGAAGAGCTTAAAAACCGTGATCTAGATTTCATATAGCACTTTTTATAAAACCATTTTCAGTGGTTGATACCCTCTAGCTAATTTTGAACATAAATACATTTTCATAGAAACAAGCTGTTGAAAGTTCTGTGTTACCTCAGAGCAAAACCTGTCATGATCAAACTTCCCTATTTTCCTTGACCAATGTGTTAGCCAAGTAGACTCATTTAATTCTGTTCAATGCATTATTACTATATGCTTTTTCAAAGTACTATCAACCTAGATTAGCTCTTAGATTCCAATTTATATATCTTAACTACTGCTAACATTTAGATTTTTATTCAACAAAAGAAACATTAAAATAAGTTAGATGCTACAGTGTCTTTAAGTGTATCTTTTGGAAATTACTTTACCTAAGCTTTTTAATTATAAGAGAAAAATAATCAAATTGTCAACTAATCCCCATGTTTGTATTAATAGACAGCTATAACTTTGACTATGTGAAATACATAGAAAATAAGTCAAAGATCACTAAGAACTTAAATGAATTTTAATGTTAACCACTTCTGATAGTTCAAAAGTCAAAAAGAAATTATCATAATTTACCTTTCAACAAATAGTTTCAAAACCACTGTGTCAATTATTACGTACTCTTCTATAAGGAATGCCTCAGGCTTACAGTATCTAGAACTAACCACTCACATAAAAAATTTTAATAACCCCAATCTACTAAACTTTTTTAAAAACTTTTTTCCATTCATCAATTCATGATCATTTGGGCTAATTCCGCATTTTGGCTACTAGGAATAATGCTGCTGTGAACATTTGTCTACAAATTTTTGTGTGGAATTAGTTTTCATTTACCTTGGGCATACACCTAGGAATGGAATTTTGGGATCATGAAACTTTTGAAATGACTACTTCTGGTAATTTTTCTCATCTCATATCAGACTACAGACTGTCACTCCTCATTTCAGTCAGTGTGTCTGCTTGTTGTTATTTCTTTCCCTTACTTACACTCATGTACACATTAAAACCAATAACCATTAAACTTGTCAGATATATGTATAAGTAGAAAAGAAAATTATTCTTTACAAGAGCAACCTACTTTTGGCTACTTCTGTTAGATATGTTCTAGATGGTCAAGTATCGATGACCCCAGATTTTTTTTTAAAAAAGTCCCGCATAAGGACTGATGACTTAACTGTTCAATTATTCAAATAAAAGCTAGAACAAAAATGTTTGTGTAAATTCAAATAACTAAAGTAGACAACAGTTGCTCATTTTTCATTCTGATATTTAATACTGTTTAGTTAATTTATGACTTTAAAATATTACATAATCTCCAAGTATCACCAGAAAAACATAACTGTGCATAGTATACACAAAAAGACATCTCTTTTTCCATCTCTGTTAAAGATGTGTGTATGTAGTAGGCTATTTTCTGCATATATTAATGCGGCATCTTACAATGCAAAAGTCTATACAAGCACCTTAAAATTTTTGTGTGGGTGTTCACCAGAATTCCACTTCATAGTTAAAGATTTAGTAGTAATTATGCTAATTTTCACTATATTGAGAACTATATTAAAAAACAGAGTAATATTTTCTATAATATATGAAATAGTATTTTAAAGTACAGATGGGGTCCATATAAAATGAAAGTTTATCTTCTTCATTATGTTCCGGTAGTTCTATTTCAAAGAGTGTGTTAGTAATCTCAAACATACAACTCAAAAATTAAAACACAAATGTTATTATTTATAGCTCAATCAGTATATTAAAATGTAATGAAATTGGGTTTACAATTGTGTCAATTTCCTGAAGTAATAGGAAACCAAAGTAGAATACACATACAGGTTTCTCCCACTATCTAGAAGTAGAGTGTGACTATGAAACCTTTCATAAGCTAAAATGGCATAAAGCAAAGAAGCAATTACTTTAAGATGCATCTTGCTAACAAATGCACAAAAAAAACTGAGATGCTCACAGTTAGTTATAATAGTTCTAAGCTTATGATGGCTTGATACCAAGCTGCTGAGTGCAGTTTCCAGAGAAAGCTACTCTCACTGTGCCCTGCCTCCATAATGGCTCTCTGCAAAACAAATGCAAAACGCTATTCTTGCTTTTTTGCCTTTTTTTCATTAAAAGCAAAATTCCTCCTTGGAGGGTCCCCCTCCCCCCCCAAGTTAGCTAAAATAGATACTAATGTAGGTCTTTTTTATTTATTTTAGAGAAAGAGGGATAAAAAGAGAAATATCAGTCAGCTACCTCATGCATGCCCCCTACTGGAGATTGAGCCTGCAACCAGTGCACATGCCCTAGAAGGGAATCACAGCCACCTCTAGGCACATGGGTGGCCATTCAACTGCTGAGCCACACCAGCCTGGCTGCAGGTCTTAACAAAGTGGCATAAAACAAACTTTCAAAAAGTGGGGATTCCTGTATTTTGTTTCTTTAAATACATCAGTTTCAGAGAAATAAGTAAATTGTCTACACATTAAAACTTATAATTAAGAAAATTTCACACAATTATGAACTATAAATTATGCTGATACCAAGGTACATAAATAAAATCTTCAATCTGCCATTTTCACAGAAATGATGGGCCTATGTTTCTTTTACTGTTTTTCACATAATGAATAAAATGTTAAAAAATAACATAAATGATTTTTTGCAAAGCACCATATTAAATGAGGTGGGATAAATTAATTTGGATTTATTTGGTGAAATAACCCTTCAAAAAAAGGAGCAGTGATTCTCCATCTACCAAGCAGGGATTGAGGGTGAGTGACGTGAGAATAGAATGGGAAAGGGGGGGGATAATGGAAGACCTAGATAAGAAGACCCTCAGTAACTAAAAGGATCTCTTAATGAAAGAAATAGAAAATTGGTAAATAATTATTGTCAGCCTGAAAAGGAAATGATTAATTCAACTGAACATGCTGAATTGAGGAGTCATGAGATGATTAAAGAATTCTACCAGGCAGTTAAAAAATTCATGATTGGAACTTAGGAGAGGGGCCAGGCTAACAAGCCAGTGGGTGAAGCTATGGAAACAGAATGAAAAGAGAAACTTACAGACAGAAAGCAGGAGGAGTTGAACATTTTTCTGGGGACTTAGAAAATACGAAGAGAACTTTGGTCTCCATGGTCATTATTTCTTTGCAGGGAGTAAAGAATTTTTACACTGTGGATAATATCTCTCTTTTATACTCAATTTTCACCTCAACCTGGTCATTCTCTCTCCTTTAACTATGGTTAACATTATTGCACACAAAACATGGGTCAACAATGACTAATCCTGCCAAATAAAGACTAGGAAACCATACTGTGTCTAGCATTCTGATCTGGGAAATACCATTTAGATTCCAATCATCATTCATGTATCTTTTTACACAGTAAATCAACCTTACTCAATAATCTAACATGACAGAAAAAACATGAACGGGGGAAATAGGGGGGGAGGGAGGTTACAAAGTTTTAATGCATTTAACAACTGTTCATTCAGAAGAAGGTGCTATATTGCTATGTGCAAGGTAATGGCTATTGTAGAGCATTCAAAAAATTTAAAATATACATAAATGTTTACCTCATTCAGGTTATCCAAACTCAAATTATTCTGGAAGACCACATCATTTAAATGCTTAAAAAATTCTACAACTACCAAAAAAAAAAAAAAATTACAAGTCCAACATTAAAGAAGAGCACACACAAATAAAGCCAATAATACAGCAATCTCTTTCAGAAGTTAATTTTAAATTCTAACCCAATTAACATTTGCACTAGATGAAAAACAAGATGGAAAAGCCTAGTTATCAGTGTAACAAACTGCCTTAGTAGTTAAATATACCTTATTTCCATCGTTTCTTAGCAATCCCCTTACAATTTCTAATAAAGTAAATATGCAAATTGACCATTACTCCAATACACAAGATGGCCAGCAGGAGA